CCGCTCTTTCATTTGAGCCAAAAAAAACATTCATATCTTGTCTGACATCTCTGTTACAAACTCTGGTCATCAACTCTGGTTTTCAGTTGAAATTGGAATTGTTAATTTACACAATAATAGGAGTGCACTGACGATTTTTTCTTAACTCGCAAAAATCTTCAAACAATTTGCTACCGATTGGTGATAAATTTTTTTGGAAATAATGAAATAGGGGGGATAACGCCTTTTTTTCAGGGGTGATTTTTCAAAAATTTATTTTACAAAAAGTACCAACCAGCAAATGTTTTTTATTAGCTCGCAATTTTCGTCAAAACTACTTCAATGAGGAAAAAAATAAAAATTTGGAATATTTGTACATGAGGGGCTAATTGATCGGATCTGAATACTCCGATTTTTTCCAGTGAACGACTCAACGTACATTACAGATGGCGTTATTCTCTGTTTTGTGTTGTGGGAATTGTCAATAAGTCCATGTGTGCTTCTAGAAGAATACAATAATAATAATATACGAAAAAATACAAAAAATTTGGAGTGTTAATCGATGGATAAATGTAATAAAATGAGCTCTTTGGACAAGTTGTGAGGTAAAATTAAAATTTCAACACAAACGAGTGATTATGAAATTGAATATTTTTTTGCATCTAATTTTGTATAATTTTCAGGGGATAAATACAAAAATGAATAAGGATCTAGAATCATTATCATCATCATCGTCATCATCGTCCTATGAATTGGTCAAAGCCGTAAAATCGACAGCCGTTGTAAAGTACACAGCAGTTCAAACACCAGCCACTTTTGCCCAGTTGCAATGTAATACAGATTTGAATCATCCACCAAGCAATTGGCTGAGTAGTTCAGCAGAGAGCTATGGACTGCAGAGTGTATGGTCCACAAACACTGGATTTTCATCTTTTCGAATGGCCCATATGTTTCCTGACTGCGTTGGTGAGGTTGACGTTGTATCAGATGCTGAGAATATTAAAAAATTATTAAAAATGCCGTACAGTCACAGTGTCATTTCGATGATGGTCCATAGAATTGAAAACACACTGCTTCTCGATGATTTTGACATTCATAAATATTTATTGCGCCAGGCTGAAACAGATTGGGAATGGTTGAAGAAATTCTTTTATGAAAATATATTTGAGGACACGAGCGATGACAAGAAGAGTAAATTATTTCACAAGACAACTCATAATAGCCGCAATACACTTCAGCAAAAGAATTTAGTATCAAAATTTCTCTATCATTCACTGGTTCTAGCCGACAATGAATTGCGTAACAATGTCACTACTAACAAGACCAATGACAATATCAATTCCAATAATGCCAATCACAATGATCATGATAGCAGTAAAGATGAAATGAGCATTAATTCAACTTGCCCATTAAGCCTTCAAAGTCTGGAGCCAATGTTACCTGAGCCAACTCGCGAAGATAAATTGCCAGATCCAAATCACAATCACAATTTCACCAGAAATGTTGTATGGACATTTGAGAATATACAAATGCTAATAGGAACGGATATGCCTATATTTGGTGGTCAAACCCATCCATGTATCAGTCTGAGGCTTCGAGATATGAATAAACCTATCAATGTTCTGACTGGTATTGATTACTGGCTCGATAATCTCATGTCCAATGTTCCTGAAGTGGTCATGTGTTATCATTTGGACGGTATTGTTAAAAAATACGAACTCATAAAAACTGAGGACCTCCCTAATCTGGATGATGCTAAATTCAGTCCAAAAGTTATTCGTGATATTGCTCAAAATATATTGAGTTTCTTGAAGAATAATGCAACAAAAGCTGGTCATACATATTGGTTATTCAAAGGTAAAGATGATGATGTAGTCAAACTTTATGATTTAACATCACTGTGCACTGATATTGGCAGCGATGAGCCAGAGCCGGAGACCGAGACGGAGACCGAGACCGAGAGGGAGAGGGAGCCAGAGCCAGATAAAGAACAGAATCCATTTACAGTGCCTGTTGCTATGCTTCTATATCGAGTCGCCAGAAATATGAAATATTCAATGGATCGGCCAACTAGAGGACACAAAGGCACCATCCGAATGCTTCTCACAAATTGCATACAATTATTGAATCGAAAAAAATATCCACAAATTGTTACCTCTGCCCATTACATGCTCTCTGATCTATATGTTCCTGCTGATACAGATCCTGCTAAGCCCATTCTCATGGAAGACGATTATCAAGATGATCCGGCATCAGATTGCAGGAGTACTAGCAGTAATCAGGATGTTAATGATACCACCACAGAATGCCATGACAACAACCATTCTAACGATTCTTTGAATGAACATGACAATATTGAGGAGAATGATGACGGTATGAGTGCCACTGCCAGTGTCAAATCACTAATGCTTGCGCACATGAAAGACCAATCTGAACACGAAGAATCCAAGTACAAACCACCCCCAGTGAGTGGAACTGTTGTTGAACGTTGTCGAATGGCTCTCGATCATGTCTACAATGGATTGCAATGTCTAATATACTTTCCCACAAGTACCTCAGTCCCTGATAATGCTGATAATCATGTGTATAATAATAAATCGGATAATCATCGTCACGATGTCAATGCAACAGTACAACAGGACCACCAAAACATAGCGAAACCATTCGAAGCAATACCAATGCCATATTATCCTCTGGACACAGATAATACTCAGAATAAACAGACTAATAGTGGAGAAATTTCAAATTTGAATAATCGAAAGAAGAGTCAGAAGAAGAGAGTCCGTAGAAATGAAAACAGTTTGACAAATAGCAACAGTAAACCTCATCATCATCATCAGCAGCAGCAGCAGCAGCAGCAGCAGTTGATTATTGATGGACAGTCAACAGAGAATGCCTTGCTATTGTGTCAAAAGACTAAAGTTGAGACATTACCAACTTGGGAAGCACCGAAAAAGACAGATAACCATAGCTGGAAAGCCCATTTGAAAGCCTTGCTCTATGAAAAAGCAGCATTAATATTTGCAGTCCTTGCTGAATACCAATACGCTAGTCCACAATGTAATTACGGTGCTTCTCTCAGATATATCCTCAATGTATTAAAATGTCAAGAAATTTTGGAAATATTCTGTGCTATAAGAAATGATAAATCAACCAGTTATCTACTAGGAAGAGCGGGCGATTGTTGCTTGATGGCTGTTCAAGATTGGCGTAATATTGATAAGCATAGGGAAGCATTTAATAAAAAAGATGACATAGAGGATAAAATTGTTGGAGAAATAACGAGCACTGAGTACTGTTTTGAAGCTTTGAAAAGTATTGAGGATTGTCTATTGGCCTCTTACAAGTCTTATGAAAAAGCTTTGTCTTTGGAACCTCTTGAAATTGATAGAACGAATCTTCTGCGACGAATAGGAAATATTCACAATGAATTAGGAGTATTGTACATGAATCAGGCAAGTACGAGATGTCAGCAGCAGCAACAGCAGCAGCAGCAACAACAACAATCTCAAGATAATAATATTACTATTGACAAAACAACAAGAAACAGCAAGGATTCAGACGATATCAGTTGGCATTTGACACAATCATTGAACCATCTCGAATCGGGTATCAAGGCATTCGAGAGTGTATGCGACGAAGCTAATCTCGCCCTTTTACATTCGAATAAGGGTCGATTGATGCGACTGTGTGCCCATATCAATGTCAATGAACGAATTCAAGAGAGAAATTTCTACAAAAAAGCACTTTGCAGTTATCAAAGGGCTCTCCAGGTGCTAGGTATGAGAAAGACAAACCCTGCGATATGGGATACAGTTAATTGGGATTTATCGACAACTCTCTTCACAATGGCCACACTATTTCAAGATTATCCAACCATTGGTTTCGACAATGAGGAGGAATTGGAGAGAGAAGTTGTTGAAACTCTTCATAAAGCTCTGAAACATTGTGATATTGATACGCCAGGCCCCAAGCAACCTGTTTATCAATTTCGTGGAGCGACGATCCATCATCGACTTGGATCCTTGTATCATCGTATTTACAGGCGACTCGAATCTGATTCCGATTCTATCAAGCGTAAAACACCATTACAACTGAGTAAACTTCATTATGAAAAGGCAGCCAAACTTTTTCTCTCATTGGAACAACCAGTTGAATTTTTAACTGTACAACTTGAACGAGTTGCTCTAGCTGAGTATCAAGCACAAATAGCAACGCTTTTTCAAAATAAATTGAAAGCCTATCAAAATGCTCTCGATTGTATTCTCCAATGTAAAGAAATGTTGGATAAAAATGTGCTTTTGAAGAAGGAACAACAATTACTCATGAATAAGCAGAGTGATTCAGAAGCAGCCCATCGTTCCTCCAATAATTCTCTTACAGAGGAACAGGATCAAAATCAAGAGGAGGAGAAGCTCATACTGTTGCTCGAGCAAAGATTACAATACTGTCTCAAGTCCTTGACCAAATTGTGCCTCGGTAAGAATAACAGCAAGCAGTACCAACATCTAGCTGATGTATATAAACGATGTTACAGTCAGAGTTTGGTGAAATTGGAAAATCGATCGGCCCTATCATTAGTTGATCATATTGCTCATCTTCTTCAGCAGCTTAGTGTCAAGCTCTGTCAAATCCATAATCCTCTTCCATGATAATCATTATATATACACTTGGAGTTGTTACAAAATGAAAACACTACTTTCATCAAGTCTCTATTTTTTTCTTCCATCTCCTGCAGTTAATAATAATAATAATAATAATAATAATAATAATAATAATAATAATAATAATAAACCTTTTGATATCATCATATTTTTTTATTTGACTCTAATTGACTTGCATCTCCTGATAATATTAAAAAAAAAAAAAATGTATTGCAAAATTATTAGCTACGTATTCTTCATCTTTCAGCTGTGATTAATTACGAGTGAATTGTTGAGTTTTTTTAATCTTCATTCTATAACTAAATTAATTGATATGAAAATGATCAATCTGCTTATTACTATCCGGACAAGGAGTTGCGCTTCCGCACCACTTAGTTTCCTTGAGGGAGTGACATGGTTTGCCTCCACGGCGTGCTTTAACGATAATTTTTCGAACTCTTTGCGTTTCACCAACTCCACAACTCCGACTGCATGCACTCCAAGCGGTCCAGTCACTTGATTTGCAATCTCTTGGTGCCCGTCGTTGATGCAATTTTCCTCTCCATTGAATCCCTCGATTTTTAATATGTAATCGGTGATTAACTCGAGGACGATTTGACAGGAATAAACTATTTGTTGGCCGTGATGTGGAATTAACGATTCTCCCTTTGATAATAGGCCTCTTGTTCTGCCGTATCGGAGCTCTCTTTGGTTCCTTGTCCAAATCAAAGTTTCCCTTTAATCTTTCATCGTGTGTATATTTTCCTACTGGAAATTTATTATAAGATGACACAATGCCATCAATTATCGCTGCCTTGGCATTCTCCTCTTTATTATTTCCTATTGTATACTGGGTGCTGTTATTCATCCAATATCTGTGGGAAAATTTTTGCAATGTTGTGATATTTTTGTGGCGACAAAATAATAGCACTTTAATTGTTCAAGTTTGTAGGTCACACTCGGCTCCCGCTCTTAAGCATGTACGTAGGTTCAGAGAAGCAATTGACCTCAATTTACCATGCTTCTTCGTTCAACATTTGTAACTGTTTATTTTCCCATTTCCCTCATTCTTTTGATGATTTTATTAAATGAACAAGTGAATAAAAAACTAAAACAGCCATTACCCGTATTTCTGGTGATCCGCTACTGCAACAACTGTTTTGCTGATTGCTTCATTAACAGGAGAATAACGCGACGAAGCTCCCTCAATACTGACAAATTCCATTTCTACTTGATCTTGATGATAAACACCAGTCAAACTATATTCTTTCAACTGAAAAACCAAAATGAATAAATAATCAATAAAAATGGCCAATTATATTTATCCATACCTTTGTGAAGGTGAGGGTTGCAATTGGTGGTAATCGCGGTAAATTTGGATAGTTGAAACTTGCAGCTGGATGAGCCGGATACCTCGAAGTTATTCGATAAGCTAAATTTTGCGGCCAGCTTCGCTGATGCTGATGCATAGCCGTGAATGTTATGCCCTCATGTGTACCGGCATCCAATGGATCAAGCTGAAATTTATGGCATATTATAGATATTTATTCTTGTAAGGTGAAAAAGAATTTTATTTAATGTGTGAGAACAAACCTCTACAGTAACAGTGTCGATCCAATCGCCATCAATGCATAACTGGAATGAATCCACTCCAATGAACCAGTCAGGACTTGGAGTTATTCGAGAGACAATGCTCACGAGTGTATGATTGCTATCGACAAATGCTCGTGTCGAACTTGTTCCATCACCCCGTAATATACTTAAGCCGCTGAATGAATCGAATACATTAGGATTATTTCCTTCACTGGCTATTCCATTCGTTTCGCCGGTCTCAATATAATGAGCTATTCCGCTATTTAATCGGGTACCCAAACGATAAAGCGAGTACGTTCTATCATGTGTTTGACCTATAATCATCATTATTGAGAATAACATTTCAATATTAATTTAATAAACGCATAAAAGGATAAATGTTGTATAACACAAAACTTACCAATGAGTTTTCCAAATTGTGCCCTCTGATCTGGATAATTTTTTGGAAATCTAATACGCGTCCAATAAGTATCGAGTGTAATTTTATACAGTGCCAAGTTATCCTGGGGTTTATGACTCGCAGAATCGCCACCGCATTGTGAGGAAACTTGCGACAAATGTACGATCGGTAATAATGTAATAATAAGCAGAGAAAAAAAAATTCCCGTTTTTTTACACATCTGGAAATGTTAGTTTGTGATAAAAACAATATATGAACAATGAGAGACCACTGTCTCTTCTTTTTATAATCTCGTCGGATGTTCAGATGTGTTTATGAAATAGACGTATTCAAATACCGTTGCATATACCAATGTTCATATTTACTTGAAGTAAATTTTGTCAAAAATTCGCTTTACATTTTACCCTCAGTTATAGTCACTCTCGTATGTTCGCCATGAGTCCGTTTAAGTATATCCCTCAACGTTGCTATGTCGCTCTCGTTTCTATTCTGGTTTCGACGAAAACATTATGCGTCAGTAAACCCCTCAAGTTAGAGCCGTGAGTCCAATGACTTTTCCGTCTCTCTTTCATCTGCGTTATGTACATCTGTATGTCCTATCGGGGGTTTATATTTAACTCATTTTTCATTTTTTATACTGACTGACTTTTCTATATTCACTTTTTTTTAAACTTGTCGTGAGTAATAGCATTAAATTGAATTTCAGCAAGTCAATCTCAATGGCAATCAATCTTTTTTTTTTGTTGAAAAATTGGCATAGAAACTTTCACATTTTATTAATTGACCGCAAAAACAAATGTCGTTTAATGAAGTTGACTTACAATGAATGACAATGATTTACGCTTGATACAGAAAAGATATTCGTCCCATCGAATATTTGAATTGACTGCAGGAAGAGAACGCAAGCTTTAATATATAGGATATATATTATATTTAGATGATGTCGATCATGCGCTGTATGTACAAGTCTCTACGATGGTGGTTAGTCGATATTTTTTTTCATCTAAACAAAAAACAAAAAAAATAGATTTTTGTGGACCATGCGCTATCTCTTTTGGAGTTAGTTTTTTGGACAGTAGTGTCAGTGTGATCATTCAAAATTGACTTCTCTCTGGGCGGGCGTGGTAAGCAGCTCCACCATACTGCATGCATTTCAAATTTTCTTGACACGTGGCGCGACGCACCAATTTTTTTCGCCCCCCGGACGGGCCGGACGGCAAACAACCGATCATCGGGTCTCTGGGGGTTTGTCCTTTGTCAGTTGGTTGTTGCAGTTGTTGGCCATCAACCGAGCATTGTAAACAACGTGTAAACATCGTCCTTCAAGACTCACGTATGTAATAATGTATTTATAATCATTATTGAATATTCTGTAAACTTTTATTATGTATTTACAGTGTCTCAGATTGTCTGAAGAAATTGAAAAGAAATGATGAAGTACCTTGTAGTTTCATGTGTTTTACTCCTCTCCGTTTGCGGTATTTTTGGAGAAACATGTCAGAAGCCTGAGATTACTGCCTCAGCATATGTAACGGAAGATGCAACAATTCTAACAAATGTTGCATTCACCACTCAGTTTACTTTGAAATGTAGCAATGGCATAAAGGACATTTCACTTTATGCTGAGTGCGAGGGAAAATCTCTACCAGCTGTACGACTCAGTACTGATAACAAATACCAGGTACCAGTCAGTTTTATCACATTTTACAATTTCATGAGTTGTGAATTATGAAAATGAACACGCAATATTTTTATTCAGGTATCGTGGACAGAAGATGTGAAGAAAGTACGCTCCGGCGACTACAGCGTTAAATTATACGACGAGGAGAGTTATGCAGCCCTCCGTAAGGCTATCCGCAACGGGGACGACCCAGAATCTGTCAAGCCTTTGGCAGTTGTGACACTCAATAATCCAGGTGTATATCAAGGACCCTGGATCAATTCCGAATTACTTGCAGTACTTCTCGCTGTTGTTGTATCATATGCAGCCTTTTCGGCAAAATCGAAGCTCTCTGCTTAAAGCCATATTAAGTATTCCAGTGTAAATGAGATTTTTTAATAATTTTATTTAAAATAAAAATGGTGAATTATACTTTATTATTATTTTGGTATGACAATTAGAAAAAAATTACGTTTATCCTTGTGGTGTCTATACTTAGTACAAACTGATTGGGGCCGGATTTCCATAGAGAAATTTCCATGAATTTGGCACCTTAATTTCCGAAATATTGAGAGAAATCCATTTACATGTATAATTCATGAGAGCTATTGCATCCGGTATGTTATCTCCTTCTGAGCAGAATCGAAGGAGAATCGCTGTGGGAATCTCATAGTGATTGAGAAATTGAAACAGCTCAAGAGCGAATCCACCACCAGGTATTTTCACATCTCCTCCCACCCCACATGTATTCGATGTTTTTTCAAGCGCTGTCCACTCTGAATCAGCAATCATTTGACTGAATTTCGACAGAAAACCAGATGTAGCCATGTACCGCATTGGTTCACTTTGAATTTGAGCATCATTTCGTGTGTGAGCCCATCCACTTGTTAAAATAATAACCTGGAAAATTAAAGAATCCCATTATCTAGTCAGACTGGAGATAAAAATGTACATGCAAATTAAGATAAGTTTGTAATTACAAATTCAACTTGGACTAGCATCAAATACCTTATTTATTTGCTGATCTTCAATAAACTGCTTGACAGAATTGAACAAGGCGCTGGGTTTCTTTGTAACAGGTGATCGTATCTGAATTGCAATTAATTTTCTCTCGGAATTGTGATAAATATCACATGAAGTACAAAGTTGCGTGGAATTTGCATTATATGGGTTGCCACCGACAATTGGAATAAAGCAGCAACTCGTTATATGCCCTATTTTTTCTAATTCACCGTTTGAAATTATGAGATCAATGGTTAACTGGGCTACATTTCCCACTGCTACTGCAGGAATTATCAATGTACAATCGTGAAAATTTCCTGTATTTGTCAGTTTTATCATTTTGAATAGTGAAACTTTCAACAAAAGCACTAATCAATTAATATTAATATTATATACATGTATGGTCCTATGAATTACAAAGTCCGTAAAATTTAATCTCATAAGTCTGCAATTCAATATTTTTAACAACTCATCAATGCGGAAGCTTTAAATTCAACGCTCACTTCACACGCAACCGGAATGTGCTTCTTTCACTCATCATTTTTGGTGCAGCAGGACAAGACATACGCATATACAATATCGGGAGAGAGAGAGGTGTGTGTGTACGTTGGATGTATATATATATATATAATAATAATAATAATAATAATGATAATAGTAGATGGTTTACTTATGTTCCCATTTGAGGTTATAGTTGTGTGTATACTAAATTTTCAATAGTGAGTGTTATAAATATGCCATAAAATAAAGGATATAAAATAAATTTTAAAAAAGTGTAGTGTTACAATAATAAAAAAAGACAAAAATGTTGAGTTGTGGTAGAGGAATTGGCCAAATATCACGGATCACCAGACATGCGTATCCCAATTGCATCAAATCGGCAATTTTTGAATTCACTGGAAGTTAGTATTGCTTGAAATTACATCAATTGTCGATAATTTTTTAAATTAACCAATTTATCAATTTATACTAATGGAGGATCAAATGAAATGAATTTTCTAGGGCGTGTGAAGCACGTGAAGAAAAATATCTTAACCTCATCTCCATTTGCATTTTATTATTTTAATTTCTTGATTGAAATTTTTTATTTACAGAAATTGGAAGTCTGAGGCATGCGAGTAACAATAAAATTAATAAGCCTGTGACAAAACAACGGGGCACAACGATTAGAGCTGAAGAATGTGTGCCACCAAAATTTAATGAAAAATCAATGGAGCCTTCGTCGAAAAGCTCCACTAATACATGTCCACCGGAATGCGAAGAAATTTGTGGTAAAATACCACCCAAGGGCCCATCGGAGAATAACAATGCTCCTAAATATTGGAAACACATTATTACGGTCATAATCGTTGCAGGTGTCGCAATCTATACGGTAGTAAATTCTACATTCCTCATCAGATTTTTCGTTGTCAAATTTCCACTATTGTATTAAATCATCACGCCTATTATTTATTTAATTTAATTTTAGTATACCCGTACCGATTGGATGAACCAAGAGAATGAGGGATCAATATTGAAAACTCCCTCAAAAAGTAGGCAATGTTATGATACTTGGAAATAATTCAACAGAGTAGTGGTGCTAATTAATTCATTGATTACAGAGAAAAAGGAGAATGAAAAAGTGAAGAAGACGGTAAAAGCTCGCTATCCAGTCAGTTCAGTTTCACTTCCCACAGATGTTCCCTATTTATTAATTGGAGGAGGAACAGCAGCTTTTTCTGCATTTCGATCGATTAAATCCCGTGACCCAAAAGCTAAGGTATGTCAAAAGTTTATTTCCAGTAATAGAAAATAATTTAATAATTCAATTAGAAGGATTGTCAATGAATGACATTAACAGGTACTTGTGATAACCAACGAGCCAGATCATCCCTATATGAGACCACCGTTATCGAAAGAGTTGTGGTACAACAAAGATAGGGAAACATCAGCACAGTTGACTTTCAGGCAGTGGAATGGTACAGAAAGAAGGTAAGGTATCTCATTCATTATAACGATATGAGAAAGAATGATATGACATAGATAAAACTCTAATGAATTTTATTTTCAGTTTATACTATGAGCCTCCAGAATTCTATGCCAATGTCGATAACCTCATGAAATCAGACAAAGGGGGTGTTGCAGTTGCAACAGGTTGGACGGTCAAAAATATTGATCCTTTCAATAGAATAGCAATACTCGATGATGGCTATGAAATTAAATATGATAAGTGTCTCATTGCCACTGGTACATCGCCAAAGAATCTTTCGATATTTGAAAATGCCGATGAATCAGTTAAATCTAAAGTCATTCCATTCAGGACTAAGGATGATTTTCTAGAACTTGAGGAGAGGCTAGCTGATCCGAAAGTCAAGAATGTCGTTATTGTTGGAGGTGGATTTTTAGGCTCAGAGCTTGCCTGTTCACTCTCACGAAATCTTGAAAATACACAGAAACATGTGTATCAGATTTACAAGGAAAAATTCATAATGGCACAAGTTTTACCAGAGTATTTGAGTGAGTGGACTACAAAGAGATCGACAATGGAGGGAGTAACATGTGTGCCTAATGTTGAGATTGAGAATTATGAAGTGAAAAAAGGACAACTAAATTTAATATTGAATAATGGAAAGACGGTAATCAATTATAATTTTATCATAACAAATGTGTATGTAACAATTTGTCATTTTTTTTTTTTTTTTTAATCGTTAATTTTTACATTTAATATTGAACAGATTGAAGCTGATCAAGTGGTAGTTGCAGTAGGAGTTACCGCTAATACCCAACTCGCTGAGCCATCTAATCTCGAAATTGATCCGGAAACTGGTGGATTTTTGGTAAATGCTGAACTCGAAGCGCGAAGCAATCTTTGGGTAGCTGGTGATGCTGCTTGTTTCTATGATGTAAAGCTTGGTCGAAGACGAGTTGAGCATCATGATCATGCAGTCATTTCTGGAAGACTTGCTGGCGAAAATATGACTGGTGCAGGCAAGCCTTATTTGCATCAATCAATGTTCTGGTCAGACTTGGGCCCAGACGTTGGCTATGAGGCCATTGGAATCGTTGATTCGAGCCTCCCTACCGTTGGTGTATTTGCCAAGGCTGAAGACAAACACAGCAATGTAAAGACAGATACTCAACTGAGCAACGATCAGTCGAAAGACGAAGAAAGTGCTCAAAACATATCACTGACCAATAAGGGAGAACAATCTTCTCCAATAGCTTCGCAAGCTGAACAGGACTATGGCAAAGGAATAATTTTCTATCTCAGGAATGACACTGTCGTAGGCATTGTACTATGGAATATTTTCAACCGTATGTCAGTAGCTCGTCAGGTAAGGCTTCTCAATTATTTCAGTATTATTTATCACCCTTTACAGCTTCGCTACTGATTTCTTCTTCTCCTCCACTTTCTTAAAATTTATTATTAATCATTCATGTTGAAGGTGCTGGCAAGAGGGACGCATTATGAGGATTTAAACGAAATAGCAAAACTCTTTGCCATTCATGAAGAGTAATTGAAATAAAAATGTATAAAAAGAGTTGCAGGACTCATACAAATCCCCTAGGCATTTAATATTTTAAATTAAAGAAAGAAAAGAAAAAGAAAAACTAATTGAAGCTTGAGTTGTGTTATTTGAGTAGTAAAAAATCTATAAAGCGAGAAACTCAAGCAGAGGTGCAGGCAATTGAAGGTCAATTAGGAGTGAGAATCCTCAATCCTCTTCCATGTCCGTGGTTTTGTTTTGATTCAGTGATGAAAGAATTTGGTTTTGATACTTCTGCGACAATCGATCCATGTAACTTATGTAATTCTCGTACTGATAACTACTCAAATCCTGTAAGAAAAATGATAACAAACATAATTATTGATTTTACTTTCAAACAGTAAGAAGGGAAAAAATAATAGTTATGAATTAATCATGGAAACAAAGCAATACTTGCAATGTTTTCCGGCCAATATTTTTTGTCGACGATATCCTGCATGATTTTTGCTTCACAGTGTTGCAACAATGAAATACAATAGTAAACAATGTGATCTGGAGGATATAATATGCATATGGCCAGAAAGTGAATAATTTCCGACCATTCAAGTACTCCCCAAAAACATTGAGACAAAAATCGGTTACAGATCATCCACCATTTAATTCCCCATTCATTCTGGTGAATATAATTAAACAAAGTTAGTCCTCATGAATTAGTTGTTGTAATGGAAAAAATATTCATACCATCATGGCATAGTTGATTTCAGGAAATTCTTGAATCACAATTGAGTCAATTTGCTGAGCCAACACGAATTGCGTCGTCAGAGTTTGAACGGAACTTGCCTTTCCATGGGAAATGCCATGAAAATTCCACATATAAATTGCCGATGGGAATCGCACAATATTCTTCGCAAAATGTTTACATCTGAAACCCATGAAAAATGACAAGTCTATGATGAAAAATTGAAATCTTGATCAATGGTAGTAAAAAAAAAAAAATATCGAAATGAAGATTAAGTTTTCAATCTGAGACATGTCGATGATGATTAAAAGTCTGCTAGAGTCTGTTGTTGAATTATTTTCCAATTGATTCGCGGCTTACTGAGACGCTATCATTACATCAATCTTACCTATCCAAATTACCATCGCAAATGATGAATATTGTTCCGAGAAACCAATCAAACGCCTCGAAATCTTCACTTCTTTGGTATTTTATAAATTTATGTACAGATTCGAAAATGAGCTTTAAATCATCTTTAATGTTCAGTTTATTATTTGAATTTTCCCAGTGATCTTCGGAAAATCTAATAACCAAATTCAGACCAATATCCTCCTCTGGCAACCACTGGTAGCCAGATGGTGTTGATTTAGAATCGTCCCATTTGTACATGTCAATCCATTCAACAGCGGCTATTGCCCTCTCCATTTGATCCAAGAGCATCAAATATGTAGAATGCTATTAAGTGGTGAAAAAGATGATAAATATTTGAATTTTTGCTTATATTATACCAACGACTCTTGGATATTTTATTATTAACAATACCTTCATTGGACCCGGTGAATTTCCATGGGCATTCCTGATCTGCATTACCCATCCACTGTCTCTGAGACCTGGCTTACAATCATGTAGTAATTGTTCAAGCTCCGATGAAGGTGACTCAGATGTTGATGATGAAAAAATCACATCATTATTTTCAAAAAGTGTTGGAGGTGGAAAACTTGAATAGAGTGTGCACTTGTCAGGATTCTCATAATTTGTCAATTTTTCCAATTTATGCCTGATAAAATACGATTTAGATAGGATGCTATTGCGAAGCATACTGCTTTCGTCAATAAGATGAACTTGATGGAACTCCTCAATTTTATTTTCTTCAGTATAATTCTCGCTGTCATTGAATTCTTCATTTCCTTCATCCTGACTGCTATCTTTATACTTTGTAACTTCAATGAGGCAGGACTCTTGAAGTTGAAGGAGTTTTGACTGTAAGTAATAATTTGTCAATTAATGTTATTTGCTTTTGCGACTTGGCTTGATAGTCGCTGCCATGAATACCTGCAAATTATAGCGATTCAGTAAATAAATCAGAATATCAAGATTCCAAATAACAGTTTCTAATGACAAAAGGCTGATGTAGTGGAAGGATGAATCAATTGTGATGGCATGATTAAAAAGTTGACACAAATTTCGGGGATAACCACAATAGTCGTCAGCTGAATCTTCGTCCATCATAAAAATGAGAAAACCTAGAGATAGAAATAAATATATGAAGGAGAAATCCCATTGAAGCATCAGAATGTGTAGATAAATGCGCACATTTTGTATTGTGTGAAAATAGAGAGAGAACATGAATAAATTTTTTAACATGTTCGCAATCTCGTAAGTCCGCTAAATTTTCTTCATTATCCATATTATCATTAATTTCATCCAATAGCATCGATACCGTGTGAGGAACCAGATCGACCATTAATTTGCATCCTGCATCGAAATAACTTACAGAAGAGATGAAGGATATTATTTCATTAGAACTCCAGGAATGTCGAAAAGGATTGATGGAGCCCCTGATTAGTTCCTCAAGTGTTAATTGATTTTTTGTCAATAATTGTAATCCAAGAGGCCAGGCAACAATTTTCAATAGCATCTCCTGTATAGCGCTAAAATTCAATTTTAGAGATAGGTAGAACAGTATTATAGTTATAGAGAAGATAAAAATTGTCATTCATACCTGTCTAAAAGTTGACTGTTGTTTTCATGTCTTATAGAATATTTCTGAATTTTCTTGTAGAAATATTCTATCGAAGGGAACAATTCATTTTCCAACATCTTATAGATAATACTGAAATTTTCTATAATATGAAAGAGTTTGCCAACCAGTTCAAGTATTTGGATAACATGATCAATATTCATAAGGGCTATCGGTTGTCGTAGAAGAGTAGATGTGTAATTTAAAAAACTTGCGGCTGGAGTAGCCGAGTAAGAGCATGAATTCAATTCGTCAGGAGAAGTACATCGATATTGAGATGTAAAAAATGACAGTCCATCGCCAGAGTCAAGCATGAAATTGATCAAATCAATGGTATGTGGCCACAAATTTCCATTATTCTCAGCAATGAAATTCTTGAGGGGAATGAGGGCGGCATTACCAACACTGGAATCGAACAAACATGTTGGCCGATCGAGCATAAGTTTCAAGGCATGTTGAGAACCATTATAAATTGTTTTCGGAATTGTTGATGTAGCCAATGAATTGAGTGAATTGATCAAGGCAAGTGTAAAATTTCCAGATGATAATGGCAAATCTATACTGTAACCAAGAGCCATATTCGATGAGGCTCCATTGAAACAGTTATTTATTTGAGCCATAAAATTGAGACAATGCAAATACGTTATTGTTTCAACAGTATCTCCTGATATATATACTGAACGAGACATCGATTGAATTACATCGTCTTTTATTGAATATGCAAATGCACCATTAAATGTTGCTTGTTCCAGGCCCTTTTGTACAATTTCACATACTGTCTGAAGTAAAATGGGCGATTTCGATACAGCAGAAATAAAAAATTTTCTCGTTCCAACACTATAAATCCATTTTTCACTCCAATTAGCATGAGGTTCGAGGACAGAGACAAGATTCAATGGACTGAGATTCTTGCAGTGTGAATTTTTCTTATTCTCATTGTACATCAATAAAACAAAAAATTGATCAATCATTTCCTCCATTGTCCTATCAATGATTCTCATATTCTTCAACATTTCTTTGTGAAATCTAACAATAACGTGGAGTATTCGCAATAATTTTTCATGAATAAATATTTTGAAATTAATGCCAGTGCCGAAGTTTGGAAGACTCTCGTGAGATTTTTCCGAGCGGTATTCCGCTTCAAAAGCATTTATAAGGTTTGTATATACGTCATGAGAACGAGGACTATTGAGGAGTTTTGCATGAATGCGAAGACTGGCTTCGAAAACCGCCTTGGTCGTGTCAGCTATACCATCCTTCAATAATTTCAATAGCTGTTCAAATGCTTCGCTATTGCAATTATTCGATAAATCACTTTCAAATAAAGTTTCAAATCCACCGAGTCTCACGTGGACCGGTTTGTCCATAGAAATTTCATCAAAAATCGTGAATAAATTATTGCCCTCCATCTGAGATGATGATGGTAGTAGAGGGCCACCATCCCAATTTTCACTCAAATCATCACTCCTGTACGATTGAAAATTCTCCTCGATATTCTCCAAATTCACGTTACCTTGTATGGTGTCATCATCACCATTATCATTATCCGTTGTATTCTTCATTTTCTTTAAAGCAGCAATTATTTCACCAATTTCACGAGATTTCACCATCTCATTGGCAATTAATTGTAAAATAATTTTCGTCTCATTCCCTTCCGATTCTTTCCTCTCTCTCGCCCCTTCACCCCTCCCGTCATTTAATTTTTTTTCAATATCATCATTAAATCGTTCTTTAATGTATTTCTTCACCCACTTACGTAGTGACATATTCATTTCTGACATTCTATCAGTAGTATTTTTATTATTACACATAAAACAACATTGACACTTATGAATTGTAGGGTTTGTATATCTCTTGAAGTGATTTCGTTGCCATGGTAATAGATATTCTAGCCATAAAAATATCCTTCATAATATTCATTTATGGAAATTTATTCAAGAATCATAACAATAATCCTGCTAAATAAACGATAATAAGAGAACAAATAAAAATATATAAAAACAATAGCTTGTGAAATTTTTCATAAATACTCTCGTGGAGGAACTAATATTTGTGGTCGAATTGCGCGAAGTCCATAGATTCCACCTTGGAGTGCGCAGACCCGGGCAATGCCACATTTGATGAGGAAATCTGCAAACTAGAAGAATAAACACACACAAAATGTAAATATTGGAAATAAAAAACAAAAAAAAATAAATAAAAACAGAGAAAAAACGCCAATTACCAATGTATTATTCTGATCATGAGGTCCAATTATAACGACAATCTTGTTATTCGTCTCAGTCAGTACCATTGCTTGAGGTCCAAGAGTATCAATTTGAGTATGAGATAATTGAACACTTGTAAAAGGTATATTTATACTATTTGGAACTGCTCCTCTTTCAAATTGAATACTATTCCTTATGTCAACAGTGAGAAGATGTGAATTCTCTTTACTCTGATCAAACAACTGTATATAATCTTTAATACTGATTCTCGGCAATTTTTCAGTTCCTGGCTCGGGCTCATGCCAATTGGATGCCTTGGACTGATCAAACTGATGTTTTCGATATGTAATACTCGATGGGGTATTTTGATACATTGCCATAGAGTCTTTGACACAGAGTTCAATATCAATTTCAGGTAGATCAGAAAATAATAAAATGCACTCATTGAAGCCAGATACGAGGAGTGAGTCTCGGAGTTGTTTGAGTATTGCAAGCCCAACCATAAGGGGAAAAGAGGAATCACCGAGTAATAGTTTATCCCAGAGATGGAGTATTTTGTGAAGTGGAAATACATGTGAAAACATTGTTAAAAACCAAGGGATGGCAAATAATTCTGGAACGAAATTAATCGATCGCAAATGATTGGCCAAATAGGGATCGTGAAAAGCAATTATTTGTGAAAATTTGGCTAAATATTCTTGGATCACAGCACTGTTGTCTTTCAAGAAAAATTTATGAAGATATTTTGGTATGAATGCAGAGAGACAGGCAAATGCCCGGGCTTCATTGTTAAAATTTAGGTATAGAAATGGTGCTGTCAAAGAATCTAGACCCTGCCAATAAACATAGTGAGGATTATCTCTGACCCAGGCTTTCAATAATCGTTGGAGTCTCTCATGACCGGCTCCAGATGATAAAAGCTCACTGTACTGATGACATCTCGGGATATCTACTTCAATTTGTCGGTCCGTGTGTGTTGGTGTTTCTTTATCAATGGCATCATAACGTTTTTCAATATCTCCAGTGATGCCCAGCAGAGCTGCCCATACAGCTCCTCTCACTGGAGGAGGAATATCTTTGTGAGCCTCACGAATGATGGCTATTCTTGTTATGGGATAAATTTTCAATAGCCTATCGAATAGAACAATCCTGTAAAATTGATATTCAGTGTCCCTCTCTCTTATTACCAATGGCAATTGAGAGGATGTTTCAGTCAAATCATCCTGGGCTTTGACATGCATTTGACTCGTCAGACGTGGACAATTGGCAATGTATGGAATGTGTGATAAACGCTGTCTCAATGTATCCAAAGGCACTTTAATAACTCGTAAATCTAATAAGCAAGCTGTATCTCTCCGACCGAACATTTGTCCCAGTAGAATTATCAAGTTTGGAATTGAAAGTATTGGTGGTCTTGAGCGTATCAATCCATTTTTTTTCAATTCTACTGTCATATCACCACCAGCTAGTTGCCACAAATAATAGAGTTGTTCCATATTTCGAACGATAATATTTTTGTACATACTCTCCTCATATTTTTTCATATTATCTTGGGTGAATCTGTCAAACAATGCCAACTTGAGGAGTTCCCTGGGCGATTTTCGTTGTGAAGCTCGTACTTGTAGACAACAATCGACAAAATCTCTTACATCTTGTGGTATTTTTTTGAATGTATTGTATCTATCGCACTCTCTAGCTAAATGTTCGAAAACACTATTTTGACTTTGAAGAAGGCTCAATATTTTCCACAAACCCTGATGAAGTTTTATACCAGGCCATATGCTCTTTTCAAGTAATAATTCGCTAATTATTATTCCCAATGACCACGAGTCTACTTTACAGCTGCTTTCATCTGTTGAATTCAAAAAGACTTCTGGAGCTGTATATTTTGGATACCTCAAACAAATAAATTGTCTACCATTATTGTCCATTATCTTGTGATGATTAATGAAGATTTAATAAAGAAATTAAAATAACAAATTATAGAAATACCCGATTGGAAATGGAACATTTTTTCCTCTGTCAGTCATGTAGTATAGTCCATAATTGTATAATTGAACATCGCCATTCTCCTTGATTAAAATATTATCAGGACTGAGATGCCGATGAACCAGGCCAAATTGATGAATGTAACTCAGTCCAGATAATATTTCATAAGCTATTTTCACGATATCACTGATTGATCTTGTTTTTTCATTACAACATTCAAGGGGCGTACCACTGTATTCGGCAACTACTACAGTTCGTTCATGTTTACCCCTAATGATATCTACGTACGGTGAGAGATTAGGATGCTCCAGATTTTTTAAAAATTGTGATTTTCCATATATTGTTATAGAATTGGGAGTGAGAGGTAGGCCATTACTTCCACAAACTTCACTTGGATGACTTTGAGCAAAAAAAGTCATGCCTCCCAAACATCGCTCTTCCTTTTCTAATATTGCAGTAGGACTCATTCTAATAAAATTATAGTAATGTTCATCAGTCGATGAGGTCGATGACTACAAATACAATTAAAAAGGGTTATGTCAACTGTTTGAAGTGTGCCCACTGTGTTATATACACTCCTCCGGCTCTATATACTATGTATACTACATATATACAACCCCCATATATGTATGGAGGGAGTGGCGTGTTATCTATCTCGCCCCCCATATGTAGCGAGCTCTTTGACGCATGCGCCCGGTTCATTTGAATGCAATATATGTATATATAAAGAGAGAGAGAAAAGAAAGGTAAAAAGCATCTGCCCCAAAGCGTCCTACCCCTTGTTGTATGTGTGGCGCATTCGGCGTCCGTTTCTGCTTTTTACGTACATTAGAATCTGACAAAGTACGTACCCCCAGAGTATTTATCTCAAAGTATATATTACAAAATCTAGCATTTCGGCATAAGAAAATCAACATCAATTCCATTTTCATTCATTTGTTTTTTTTAAACGTTTTGTATTAAAATTCTTCACCCCTGTGGTTCTTTTGTGCGAAAAGAAAAGAAGCCAAACATCACCGGCTTATTTCATATACAACTACATAGTATTGATTCCAATGCCAACTTGTGTGCATGATATTGCCATCGAAGATAAGATATATTAAAATTTCACAATATTTTTCTCTATTATTTCAACAAAATTTTGTGATTTTAGATCAGAGGTGAATAATAAGAAATTGATAAACGATGACTCGGCCAGATTTAGACAAAACAGATAGTAACAACGCAGATAAAAAGGAAATTGCTGATGAAGAGAGAGAAAAAATGTTGAATGAGGAGAATGAGAAACACAAGGGGGCTGAAGCGGCGACGATATCCCCCCCGTCGTTGTCGTCTAATACTGATGTTGAACCACGTAAGAAAAAAATACCCATTGGTGGAATAAAAATGCCAGGCTTTTGTCGACCTAAGAGTAAGGAGGAATTTCCAAGAGATGAAAGTGGAGAGCAGCAGGCAGTTGAAGAAAGTGAAGTGGGAATTTTGGATGCTATGAGACGGCCTCTGGTCAACGTACTGGCTAGCATTAAGAAAAGTCGACCCGATGGAGAATTGTCTGCAGAACTGGCCAGTGTTGAGACACTCGATGGTAGTGTGGGAGAAAAGATAATAATAAATGATACAGCACCGCCAGCAATAACGGAAGACGGTATGGAAACTGTGAGATTGGATGGTGATCCTGATGGAGGTGAATTCAACGAGGAAAAAATGAATCCACAAAAGCCTGGGCCCCTCCAAGTTTTGATATCCACTGCACGACGAAATCATCTTGTTACTGGCGTTATTCTTGGAGTTTTGCTGATAGTTATCATAATAATTACAGTGGCATGTGCTGGTCCTCGTAGAATGATTGTTCAACCACTACTCAAGGATGGAAAATATATGGAAGCAGTAACATCGTGTGGCCTGGTACAGGGAATACTCGAGGATGGGGGTTTTGCATTTCGCGGTATACCCTATGCTCTACCACCAGTCAATAGCTTGAGATGGAGATCTGCACAACCTATCAATCGTATTGAATACTGTTGGAATGGAACTTACCTTGCACATAATTCATCCAATTCATGCTGGCAACGCGATGCTCTAGGCAACGCCGGAGGCGATGAAGATTGTTTATACCTGGATGTTTTCACCCCACAGGTGAGATATGATACTCCACTACCTGTGGTCGTTATGATTGGCGCTGAAACACTCAGCGGTGGTTCGCCAGGTGTTATGCAACCATCGGCAAAGTTAGCTAGAGTTAGAGATATGGTATTTGTCAGGCCAAATTTTCGTCTCGGAATATTCGGTTTCTTATCAGCAAAAGCACTCTCAAGGTCAACTCATTTACCAACCTCGGGAAATTACGCCCTATCAGATATCATTGTGGCACTGAAATGGGTTCAGTTGAATATTCAAAATTTTGGTGGTGATGAGAAATCAGTTACAATTTGGGGTCATCGGGCGGGAGGTACCCTCGTTACATGTCTCTTGGCAGCGACACATCCGATAAAAAATTTATTTTCAAGAGCTTGGATATCGAGCCCTAGTGTAGCATTGCCGACGAAAAATCTGGAAATATCGGAAAAACTTTCTGAGCCTTTTCTCAATGCTGTACGATGCAACGATGCTGCCTGTTTGAGAAATAAAACTCCTCAAGAGTTAATTAATGCCGAACCGTCCAGTTGGTATAACACTTCTGAAAATTCACAACTTCCAGCTGGTCAAGCTGATAAAAATCCCAGTAACAGACACGAATGGCTCGTTATAGATGGGGCTATAATCCCCGAAAATGTTTATGATACATTTAAACATGTGGGAACTCCTGTTAAAGTTGTCATGGGAACTACTGTACATTCAGCAGCACCCCATTCACATTGGAAAAATCTCAATGGTAGCATGGATCATTTGCAAATCGAGAAAAGTGTCAATGAATCGTTATTGGGGAAGATAGGACTTTCAGACGAGGTAGTCAAACGTTACAATGCCACTCTCCATGGTCTCGCCACCATAATTACTGAAATTCGCGTACTCTGTCCGATCTACAACTTGACTAATATGGTACCCCCCAATAATATATCATTTTATATCGCAACTCAGCCTCGTTGGGGCCAGCTCGCTGATGCCGATAGTGATGTTGCCGCAATTCTTGGTTCTTACACTCTTTTCACACCCGAAGAAAAACGTCATCAATCGGCTATTCAGCAGTTATTCAATCAGTTTGTTTGGCACAATCGCATAATAGATGCAGCTAAAGAGATAACCTACGGTTATAATAACCATCATAATTATAGTCAAAATGCTCGAAAAATTATTGTTGTTGGACAGGACATTCTCCCTCAACATGGCTATCCCAATTGCGATTATTGGATTAAAAATAATCTTGTTCCCAAATATGCACGAATTGATTAGATACATTAGTTTTTTTGTTTGCTTCTTCACTGCTCATCACTCAATTCAAACTATCCTCCAAATACAATAACCATCATTTTAATATCTGCCAAGACTGACGTTTCTTTTACCATGAAAAGACTGATTTCGTCTATGAGATGACCAGTATTGAACATTTCTCCAACACATTTCTCTAGATATCTTCGATATATTTTTTCATCATTCACCTATTTATCTATTTATTTATTTATTTATCTAATTACTAATCATTTGATTCATTCAAGTATCCCATATCGGCGATTCATACGCCATATCTTGGATAGACTGCTATAGTATATTAGGTGAGCATTGTAAAATCGATAATTTATGAATTCACACATCATTCTACATTATGTGATTTCCCACAGCTTTATATCACAATTATTTGTATATTAGGCATAATTACGATACCTATGATAATCTTAGGATAAAGTGTAATGCGATTTTTTTACGATTCTTACAATGAATGGTCTTAAAAGTCCCGATATGTATAATAAAAAATATAAATGAAAATAAATGAGAGTATCAATTCTTTAAATATTAAGCTTGATAAAAACTGAGATGGGAGCAGTCTGACGAGAGAGACGTGAATGGAGGAAAAAAATTAAGAGACACCATTTATTCAATCTCCAGTGTTATTTATTAAATCGGAGTACAGGGAAAATATTAGATGCAGCATTGATGTCCGAGATATTTGTCGTAAAATAATCAACATTGCATTATTTTCATCATCTAATCAGCTGGTTTTAACTACAATTTTCACTATTAAGACGTTTTTTAAATTTTTAAATCTTTTTTTTATATTTTCCAATACGTGCACAACAATACTCACTAATGACAGTTAATGATACATCCAAAGGTCATAAATATGCGTATCATTCATTTTTATTATTACTTCACAAAACGAAAAAGACAATATTTATTAATTTTTCATTTTCCCTATTTCTCATCTGCGTCTGTCAGCGATTCAACAAGAATATTTCACAATTGTGTTTAAACAATTTTTAACTCTTTGGCTTCCATCAGAAAGTCGAGAAAAATGGTTTTTGTGTTACACCTATGCCATAGGCATGCGTATTTCATCGTTTGATGTATAAAGTATGGTCGAACAGCTATAGCGAATAAACTTTGATAAATACGTTTTTTTTTTTTCTTAATAAGCGTGATTTGCTACAAACAATGCTGCATCACCTGCCGCTCCGGCGACTCCTCCTGCATATTTTCCAAGAGCCGATTCGCTATTAGCCTAAAAGTAGAAAATATTTTCATCGTGAATAATTGTTGCAATAAATGGCATTTTCTTGAAATTAATTGCGATAAATAGGAAAGATAGTGACACAGAATTAACACAAGTTGATAGAGGACTTTAAAAATACTTACACTGGGTAGGGAAGTAAAGTACTAAGAAAGAAATAAAATGAGAAAATCAAGCATGTATCGAGTGGTGTATTTTAATAGGCGTGTGCTTTGACGTGAAGGGATACATCAGCGGCTTTGCTGACGATACTGCCAGCCACGTACTTTCCTTGGCAAGCGAGACCATTGGCCTAAACAAGTATATACAAAATTCAACACATGCACTAAGTGAAGAGGAAAAATTACAACTAGATAGTTGGTATGTCTATTTCTCGTAAAACACTAAAGGAAATAAGGTGCGGGTTGACAGAAACAACACAGAAAATTAGGGTATAGAAATAGAAAATAGTGAGGGAAACAGAGAATAATAGACCTTGGCTCTCTTAATGAGTTCATCTTGAGCAGCGGCAATTTGGTCAGGTTTTCCAGACCATGCTCGGAGGACGGAGGCTTGTAGAGCACGTCCATAACTGAAAGTGAGTGCCCAGGGTTTCTTGCCGGGAACCTTGTTAATGGCGTCAAGATTAACTGAAGCCTCCTCCTCGGACTGTCCACCACTGAGGAAGGTGATGCCAGGAACTGCAGGTGGTACAGTGCGTTGTAGAGCTGTTACCGTAGCAACAGCAATTTCAGCAGGGGAGGCCCGCTTTGGACAGCTCTGTCCTGGCGTTACCATATTGGGTTTGAGTAGTGTTCCCTCCAAGTAAACATGATGGTCATTGAGTGCTTTGTAAACAGCAGCGAGAACCTCTTCAGTAACCTCCTGGCAACGAGCTAGATCATGATCACCATCGGGGAGGATCTCAGGTTCAACAATTGGTACAATCCTAGCACTTTGACAGATGGAAGCATAACGTGCAAGCACATTAGCATTTTCAAGAATAGCTAGTCTGCTTGGATGAGTCTTTCCCTTGATCTTGAGAACGCAGCGCCATTTGGCGAAGTGACAACCGTCCTTCTTGTACTGTATGCAACGAGCCTGGAGATCATCGAGACCCTGAGTGGTGCATTCATCGTCAGTACCGAAGAGGGGAACAACACCTTTGTCAACCTTTATTCCAGGTATGATGTTGCGTTCTTTTAAAAGTTCCACGAAGGGTTTACCGTCATCAGAGCTCTGATAAAGAGTCTCATGGAAAAGAATGACACCAGAGATGTGGTTTGTAATCACGTCCTTTAATCAAATAAATCAATTTCCTTATTAGAATTAACAACGAAAAAAAAAGTAAAATCTGTGAATATTTACCTTTGCTGTGGTGAAGAGCAACTGTCTGTATGCTTTTCGGTTAGCTTCATTATTTTCTACATTAATGTCCTGAAGACGTTTGCCGATTGTCGCCGTTGATTCATCAGCTGCAAGGATGCCCTTGCCGGGTGCCACAATCGTCTCAGCGATTTTTTTCAATTCAGCTTTGAGCTCTGGTTCAGCTTTCGCGTATTTTTCAGCTGGCATGTTCTAAAAAATAATAATAATGATAACAAATTCCCCTATAAACCATAAATTCTTTCACTCTCTGCATTAGCGGAGAATATTCACTTAAATAAGCTTGAAAGATGAAACAAGACCGAAACTTCATCAGTTTTGACACTCGACTCAACAATTTTACCTACAATTGCATCATCTTGTGCAATTCTATTGTAATGTGTTTATTATTTTTCTTGAATTAAATTAATCTCTTGACCAACGCCTTTGAAGAGTCTTGCTCGGGTCAAGGAAAATGATAAAGTCAATGCAAAATATCTTATCAGCACATTATTCTTTTCCAATCAACGTAAGTCATTAATCACATGTTAGATATATATTTATGTTTTAACAATATATACAAGGTGTATTCAATGTCACAATAGATTCTTGTTTCCTACCCATCATAAATCGATAGTTAGTAATATAACCGAATTCGAATCTGCGCATGCATCTCGAGACAATTGGACCTTTGGAGAAATATCAAATTTCATAGTTTTTTTATATTAAAAAACTGACACTCTGTTAACAAGCCAAAATGTGTCGTATCGTCTTATCATTAAGATGATGAAATACGCCCTGCCTCATCTAAATACCTTTCTCCATTTAATTGATTTGATATGTGTCTACTGATATGTTGTTCATCAAACATTGTGGCTTACACATGTGCCACGTGAGATTTAATTTTCACACGCAAGCATGATGCTTTTGCGTAATGCGCCCATAGGTTGCATAATATTGTTCACTCAAACTAAATGCACCGTTTGACATTTCGAATATGTACCCCCTTTGAAATCTAATCTTGACTACTTTCTTTCCTTCTTTCCCCTTTTGACCCCTTTTGTGTGTATAAAAATACTGATAAATAGTCTTTCCACTATAGAGACGTGTTTCCCTAAGAAAGGTTATCTTGAACGAAAAAAGATCAATAAAAAAACAAAAAATTTAATCAATCGAAATATGAGACATGAAACTACAACACTAGAGTGTTAAATAAAAGTTAAGAGCTTTGAATTAATAAGAATGATGTTTTTCGTTATAAAACTGCTGTGGTTTATATACCGAGGACCGAGCTATATTGGTCTAATGTCAACCAAGGTCATTCAGCACTGGGTCTCCGTGATTTTTCGTTATTTCTTTCACTCAACAAATGCTCCAAATTGCATGCAAGTTAGAAAACAATACAGGAGAATTTTAAAAAGTAAAAATTTATTACTCACGTTTTTTTGTACTTCGAAGTTGACGTAAGTTAATATGACCAGTCAGTTAAATGTACTATTATAGCACAGTTGAACACCGCGCAAGAGTCCGTGAGCAACTGAACGAGGAACAAAACGTTGGAGGAACTACCTCGGTTCAAAGTCTATTATTTTACTTGCGTCGGCGCACGTTCATCCGGTTCTCAATCAGAAATATGTATCTCTTTGAAAATTTTTTGGATGTTTGAAAGTGGGAGAATCAACAGCACTCTACGGTCTTGGACTTTCTGCCCAACTACTGTCGTTACAATTTTACCATGTATTATTATATAGATATTTAAGATTATGCTGAATGGAAATTTATTTTGATTTATTAAATTTACTGTTATGAGACGAAAATTTTCAAAGGTAAAATTCTGAATCTAGGATGCTAAAGCACCGACAATCATTGTGGATGAGAATCCCTGCGTGAAGGTCATTCAAGGGCACCTTGTTTGACATTGATGTGTACATTAACTATTTAATTTTTTTATGAGACTATAAAAATAGGAAAAATGCTGTTGAACAAAAATTTTAATGTTTTCCCAATTTAATTAATCTGCTATAAGGAACATGAATATATTTTTTGTGCCTATTCGTCCTTCCTTATCTGGCGTGTTTCTAGAATAATTCCTATTGCTTTGTACATTTTCATGCTGTATTTTATGTACTATTAAAAAAACAATCATCTTCCTAGTGATATAATTACGCATGACATTTGTAATATTATATCTTTATAGATGATGGCCATTATGAAAACTGCACGATTATCGCCGTCGATTTATCCTTGCAGAGTAATGACAAATATTTGAAAAATTCGGAACAGTTGCATTCTATGAGTGTTGATTTTTTCTCGTGCGCAATGACGCTCAACGCACAGCTCTGATCGTTCCCCGGGGGGATTTACGCGGCGGGGACCGCGGGAAAAATAAATATTAATTCCCAAACTCTAAATCAATGGTTTTTTGCCTTTGCAAATGATTTTGCATCAATTCAAGCGGTTCCGATCAACATTTGATGATACCACCTCTGAAGTATACACCAATATAACAAGTATTTAATTATAAATAAACTATTAGTTCCTAAACTATCCCAAATGATTGGAATTGGTGTCATCGGGAAATGGATTTTATTTACCTCTGCTAACCCCACGTATGTCCCCGCGTATCTACAGCGCTAGCTGAATAGATAAAGAAGAAAATATTTTTAACATCGGAGTCACTCGTTGGATACATAATATAGAGTATAGTACGTGCAATGGAAAAATAAAAAATCATTCAACTTCATAAAAACGATTTATCTCTCATATGGTTCTTGTTTTCCCCCCTCAATTTTCATGTCTGCATTCTCCATAAATATTACATCGTCACGGATGTTATTGAAGGTACATGTAATACTTTTCTCCCAGTTAGTTGGCTCCAAGGACCGAACTGTGATGGAAGCATAATCGATATTGTGAAACATTCGATATAGAGCTGTAAGAAAATATGGCCAAATTCGGCGTTAAGGTTGTCATACAGATTTAACGAAACATTATTATCCATTTTTTTTTAAATCAATAAATTTACATAAATTCAACCTCAAAACGTGAATGCCTGTGGCAAGGAATTTTGTGCGGAAATATTATGGTTGAGACGAGGGTATGCTGTTACCTGTTTTTGTTAACGTTTTTGGATTCAGTGCTACTAATAAGGCCGTCCTTTCACGGTCACAACAATGGTAAGTTATCATTTAATTCCCTATTTAGTATCAATGTGCTTACAATCATTTATCCAATCATAGTGATAACAATTGGTTTTTCCCTCATCATTATATATGTAACCATTTTATATTATGTCATGAAAATAACCACTCTGATGTAGTGGGTTTTTGCATACGTCACATTGTATTTCCAGACTTACATTTTTTGCTGTTGTAGAAGGTCAACCAATGATTTGACCATATCTTTATTCTGTTCAATTTTCAGCATTTGTCCAGGATGACAAGGACGTCCAATATTTATTGGACAACATGCCCATGTCCATGCACAAGGTCAGTAGAAATGATAAAATAATAAACATGTGTATTGCAAATGAGCTTTAATTAATGTTTTTCTTTTCATCTATTTCTCTCTGCCTAATGATCCGGTAAATTAGCAGGATTTCACTGGATCAGTGCACATGGCCGGGTAAGCAGATAATAACTACTTTATGGTGAATGAAAAAATAGGAAGGATCGGACAATTATAATCGTTCATAAATACATTAATGATTAAAAGTAACAAGTAGGAAAGTTTAATTCTTGGATTACTTTTGTTTCGTCTTCTCTCTAAGGCGTTCCTATTTTTTTATCTCTGAGATTCACATTTTTGTATTCTATACGTTTTTAATCGTTTTTATTCTGTGTTTTGAAGGGATCCCGGAATGAATGACAAAGCCATACCAGATTCGATATCGTACATCCAATTTGAACCACGTTTTTTGGACTTCAAAGAGAGGTTTTCCATTATCATATACATATTTGAATGGCTGAGTATGGATAAATATCTACAATTTATTTAAAATAATAATTTCAGACAACTGGGAGTACCCCACAAAGAGACTGTGACACTCTTGAATCGTGATGCCAATAGGACAATCCATTTGACGTCAATTTCGGGCAGCACACAGCACTTTCACTCATCCTTTTTCCAGGACAAAGTGAGCTTTCCCGTTGTTGATTGTAAAAAAAAAAAAATAAAGAAAAAAAGTCATCATGGATAAATAAATTGTATCTAATGCCATGTATTTATCTCAGGTTATTCCGCCACTGGGAAATACGAGCTTCAACGTCATATTTCTTGGAAGAGAAGAGGGTGAAATTGACAGCCAACTTTACATTCATACATCAGATGGAACCTTAAAATATCAAGTAAAACTTGAAGCCTAAAGCATAAATGAAATGAATTTTGAATTTAAAAAATTGTTATCAGGTGAAGGGGTCGAGTATAAGCAGTCCATACAGGTTGCGACCAGTTGTGGGGGTCAAATTACCTCTGAACGCGTCATTTACACCTTTAATTTACATGCACAATCCCCATTCAGAGCCTATGCAGGTACATTGAGTTGTCATGAAAATAAATCCATTGATTATTTAGTGAGTTGGCAATGTAATGAATGATTATTTTTATTATTAATAATACAGGTTGTAGAGGTCTACAGTAGTGGAGGTGAATTTCAATTGGAATTGCCATCGGGTGAAGCTGAAGGGCCGCGTGAATTATGGGAGATAGCACCATACCAAACGAAACCAGTCATAAGATTACATTTCAATGCATACGTAGAGAAGAATCACACAGCTTATGTGAGATTCAAAGTCAACAATAGCGCTGAAATAATGGTAGTTGCCATTGAAGTGGAGGTTGGAAATGGAGCTGGTCTTCACTGGGGAGGGAATTCAGCGTCGATAAACTTGGGAATGGGTGGATCACTACAATCACCAACTCAGTATCCAATTGCACTGAGAAATTCAGCAAAGAAACCAGTTAAAGTGATCAATGTCATCAGTACACCAGTTTCAAAAGCACTGAGAATAAACTTTGAATCAACTGTAATACCAGGTGAGACTGAAGGACCTGTTACAATTGGCACACTGATCTATGATTGGAAAGCTGGCTTGGATTTAAAACATTTCAAGGGCAAACTGGTGATAAAGGGAATTGGCCCTGGTGGTTCTAGTCAAAAACTCTCAATTCCCTGGATGGCGGATGTTCTCCAGGGTGGTTTAGAGATAAATAGGACAGTTGCACATTACTGTTCACCACACTCAAATCAACCACGAAATTTCAGTGTTGTTAATAGATTCAAAGTGCCACTTGCTATCACCAATGTATCTCTATCATCGGAAGCCAAATCATTATTTTCAATAAAAAATTTCATTCCGAGGGTTCTCAAGTCGGGACAGAAGGCAAACATCTTTACCCTGAATCTCAACAATGAAGGAAAAAGCGATAATACTAAATTGGAATCAATAATAATAATTCATTCAAATGTATCAACAACACAAGTTCCATTGCTGAGTTACGATGGCAAAGTGAAAAAAATCATTCCTGGAGAAAGAGAGAGTGATCGTGGAACGATGAATTTTGGAACAGTGGGCAGTGGTACAGAGAATGAAGCAATATTTGCATTAGAGAATCAAAATCCAGTGAATATTGAGCTCCATGGTTGGGGTGTCAATATGCCAGGTGCAGTACTGGAACTCATGGGATGTCAAAGTGGCCCGACAGATCTCTTCAACAAAGGCGTTAGAAATATGAGTGTCTGCAGTAATACAGGAAATCAGAGTATAAAGCCCGGCTATTTGGCTATATTCAAAATCAAAGTGAAAACACCAATGATCGAGGAGGACACGATTGTTGGTGATGTTTTCGTGAGGACAACATATGAGAGGCTCACTGTTCCTGTATACATGAGAGTAGCTCACGGAAGGATTTCTCTGAAAAAATTGACATTCTCCGATTGTTTTCCCGGTTCAATTTGCATGCAACAGATAAAAATTCACTCAACATTTTCACGTGCGATGCAAGTTACAGTTATAGCCCCAGTCGATAAAGACAATAGAGTCAAGTATATTCCACCATTGGAGGAATCTAATCGACTTCCTACTATATCCAAAGGAGAAAATCACATTGGATCAATTAGAATAGATCCATCAGTGACATGCAAACCACATTGTTATCTGGGCTTATCACTCAATACAACAGCTGGAAATCAATGGTTGAATACAATGAATTTACCCTCACACACTAGGGACTCAGATTTAAATCTGCTGAATGCAAGATACTCACGTTATTTGAATATTTCAACTAGCTGGGATAATATAACAATGCGTCTCGATACAACTGAAGTGCGCGGTCACAAATTCTTTGTTAATATTAAGCCATATTGGCCGTCTCTGGTTCTCCCCTCAGAGGATAAAAATTATAATCAAAGAAACAAAACTATACTGCAGCCATTGACATTTCCATTGACTCAGGTTGGCAATACATCTTTCAAAAGTTTGACGATTCGTAATCCAAGCACTACTAAGCCACTCTTCATTCAACTCGTTATGGACTGGAGTTATCCACAGGGTATTCGATTATACCACTCATTGCCAAATAAATTTAAACCTGTGTGTTACGAGTGTCCAGCCACTGTAGATGGAGAATTCAAACTCAATGATCAACAACAAGAGCGAATGGCTTTTCAACAAATTTTGGATATTGAAAGTGCAGTGGACTCATTACCACTCTATCTCAATCCTGGCGAATCAAAGACAATAAAACTCTCATATACGCCATCGTCGGCAACATTCTCCTCGGGCTTACTTTATATTCGAAATAACATGACTATCCTTGAAGTAATACGCTTGATGGGACGTGGTGCACATGCCCAATTTAAATTTGGAAATAGAAAGCCCAGTTCAAATACGCCTCTCCTCTTTGAACTTGCTGAGAAACATCTCAAGGATTGTGAACAGCGGCGGGAAACAATGAGGAAAAATTCACTACCAAATTTAACAGTGATACGTTCGTTTACTGCTAGAAATACTGGTGAATTGCCAATTGATATTTATGGATTTTCCATAAGCGGAATAGCTTGCGAGGGTTATGGTTTCAAAGTCATAAATTGTCAATCATTCAAGCTCAATCCAAATTCTACCAAGAAAATTGAAATTGCTTTTACTCCCGATTTTACTCTATCAAAAATTGAAAGAGAATTGATGATCTTCACTAGTATAGGATATGATGGACCAGATTCAGATAGAGTGGAAAATGGAATTGTAAGGCTTTCACTCCTTACGACAATTCCTGGACACATTTTGGAGAGTTGTGCAGTAATTTTATCAAGACCCACGTGGGAATGTCCTGTCCATTGGGCAGCGATAGGTCTTTCCTCAGTCTTTTTAATATGTATCTTAGCCGTTTCATTTTTAGAGGCTGACAGAATATTGAGAGGAGCATTGGAAAGTATGTCAAGAAATAGTCCGGTGCAACCTCCCTTGGATCTCAGGCAACTCGCTACTCAAGCAGTTTCCACACTTTCTACAAAAGATAAAATAATCGACGATAATAATAGGATAATGATGAAGAAAAAAGAGGAGCCTGATTGGATGCTGATGAATGTCAAGAGAGGAGGTGGGAAGGAGCCAAGAGGACTCAAAATACCAGATTGGTCAGCTGAAGAGGAAAAACGTTTTAAAATTGATACGGACATAAAAGATCATACTAATGCTAAATCAGAGCAAACCAATGAAATTAATCACGAGACAATTCAGCGTAAGAAGAAAAAGCCGACAGATATTGTTAGTGAGAGCTCGCAAGATCATCAAAATCAAGAGCAAAAAATTAATATTCCCATGAAAGCAAGTCCAATAATCACCAATAAGCCACATAATAATAATAATAATAATAATAATAATAATAAAAAAGAAGATAAATGCGAAGATGGTGATTCACTTAATGCAGCAAATGATACCAAGGAAAAACGTAAGTTTACAACACAGCACAATAATAATAGTCATAATAATAACAATAATAATAATAACAACAACAACATTAACAATACTGGAACGTACAAAAAATATGAAGGTAATACTAGTCAAAAGATTCAATATTCTGAGGAAGAGACCTCATCAACAACGACCGAAAGCTCAACTCAGGAGGATCAAGTACCTTATAATAAAGAACAAATTTATCAAAAAACAGATAAAACCCAACGAAAAACACCTCTCAAGAAGAATAAACAGCAAACCAGTCCAGTGGCAAATTCAATAGACTACAGAGACAATTACGAGGGTGATTGCGATGACGATGACTATGACAAAGAGCGTCAAGATAATTCTACCAGATGGAAAACGAATTCAAATAAATTGACTACATCAACCAAGCACCATCACCATCATCATTATCACCATCATCATCATCACCATCAGTCGCGAACAGCTGAGGGTTCTTTGAGTGCATTCAAGCCGATTAAAAATAAAAATCCAATCCGCAAAGATAAAGTCACGCAGAAAAGACGAACAGAAAAGCCGGTAAAATTGAACAATGCAGAAACGAAAATAGCAACAAGACCAGTGCCAAGAGCACTCTCACCTGTACCTGCACCACCACCTCCAGCTTGCTGGGGTGAGAATCGTCCAAGATTTAGTGATGTTGTCACGAGAAATCAGGACTGTATGTCACCGGCATTTATACTCAACAAGCCGGTGGTCAATAAGCACGATACTGAAGTGAATAAAAGCCCAGAGAATTGCCAGAGGCAGCCGTTACAAGAAATTTACAAGCCTAAATTGGAATTTCATCCAGATTTATCGCTACAATTGGCATCCGAGCATTACTCTGGAATATCTGACAGTCAAGACTCGGCGTTTTGTTCTGAATCCTTGATATTAGCCAATCACGACGAGAAATCGAGTAGTTACTTCTTGAATTCTTTTGACCCCCAGTTTGAACCCGAACTCGTACCCTATGATGATCTCCCAGATACAGATGAACCCCTGGTAGAGCTAGAATGCCTTGAGGATACTATCCCTAGATGTCAATTGTGGAGCGATAAAAATCCCATCACCAATTCCCTATCAGAGAGTAATAATTCAGGATATGGATTGCCTGCGACTCCCAAACACGTGGATAAACTTACACCTCTCGTTGATACTTTCAAGGATAATTGGGTCACTGTCGAGACTAATTGGGAACCGCTATACACAAGGGGGGCAGTTGGTGAAGAGAGAAGTGGAGTTTGGGGCGTCAATACTGGGGGTGTTTGGGCAGCAGCACCCTGGGGCGCTTCAACACCAGCTCTGTGTCCTCTTCAAAGCTCATCCTCCTCCTCCCAATCACCCGATCACGACTTACCAGAGCGTTCAGGTTTCGATCCATTCAGATCTCTCAGTACGATATGGACTCCAGCATCCACGTCTAATTGGCCGGCCAAAAATAATTAATAAAGAATGAGTAATTGTGTCATTGAAAAACCAAAACAACACGGTTGTGATATTTTTTTTCCCCTCATCGTCACTTTTCAAATGTCAAAAAATTTAACTCTGGTCAAAATAAAAGCAACGATATCACCAGTTTTGAAAATGAGAATAAATCCAAAACCCTTTGAATTGAAAATTTTCTTTCCTTCATCTATTGAAAAATTAACGAAATTGGAATCAACAGCTGGACTGGAGAGTACTGTAAATGGATTCAATTGAACTGTACCTACTTTGTAAGACTGCTAATTGTTGTGTTTCAATAAATCTCAAACCTTCAGTGAAATTCTCTGATGAAATTAAAATATTTATTCATTACAATGATTTTTGGTCAAGAGGATTTTTCATTTCAATATGACGTTGATTCGTACACACCAGTTGTTTTACCAGACAATGAGGATGATTTGGCTCCTTGAATTTTTCTCAGTATTGTCTAAAATGTAAACGAAAATGATGAATCTCCTTGGTAAAGGATCTGGCACAGATTAGTGTAAAAAACAGTGGTAGCCTACAATATTATCTTCATCAATTCTTCGCTGCATTTTTTTACGATTAATTGCCGAACTTGCCAATCGCACTGGTACAGCTGTTGTCGAAAAACCACCAGATTTTTTTTGTCTCTGTTGAGCCATTATTTTTCTCAGCAAATATTGATTTTCCCTCTCTATTTTCATCATTTCCATATTTGAAAAGCTCATATTTTTCCGTCGAGCGCAATTGACTCCAGTTGGAGACGTATGACCACGATTGAATGAAGAATAACTTGGTGTCTGATAATTTGAAATTTTACTTGTGCTCACGGGAAATTCATTAGAATTATGAAATGACTTTTCTCCACTGAGCGATGATGTACGAGTAACACTGGTTACTTCAGAGTCTTCTGTAAACTCATCAGAAGATATAGAATCATCGCTGTATGAATAACTCTCGTTATCGTCACTCTGATTGTTTTCATCCCCTTCAGTTTTTTCACTCAATTCATCCTCTCTTCTTGACATTTCCGCAAGAGAATGTACTCAACAGTAGATATAGTGTAAGACAGGGAACCATGACAACGGTACACTCAACAACCCGTAAAATGGACTTATTGATTGTGATTGTGTAAGTAAATTGAAAAGAACAAATGACAGAAACTATTTGAATAATTGTTCTTTACACTTCATAAAGTCTGGAATGTAAAAATTGAGGCAAACATTTTATACTCGATGAAAACATATTTAATGAACCTTTCAGTCTTCGGTCATTGATTTTTGAGATGTACAGAAATTTGTTGAAATTTACAAGTACGAGATGTTGATAATGTTATCAGCCATTAAATATCTTAATCATTAGAGAAGCCATAAACCTTGAGACTCCCTGCATCGCGTTTTCTGTCATAACTATCCTTATCGTCACAAGCATAAGCGAGTAAATATTGCTTGGGATGCCAGGCAACAGTAAAGGTAGCAGCCTCCACAGGGATATCAGCAATTTTCTCACCAGTCTCCACTTCGCCAATATCAATAATAAGATCCTCCGATGCTGCAGCCAGCAATTGGCCATCATACGAGAAAGAAATTGTTCTGACTGGCCACTCAAGCCTGGAGAATGTACGTAAACAGCAGAGTTCATCGGCATCCCAGAGTGACACAAGTGCATCAGCTGATCCTGTGGCAAAATAACGACCAGTGGGATCAAACTCTATGCAAATACATGTCCCTGGATGTGCTTTTATAACATGAAGTAACTCGAGATCTGGATAACTCAAAATATGAACACATCCTTGTCCATTTGTCAAATAGAATGTGTCTGAATCCTTGTTCCACGAGATCTCGTTGACCTCGAAATTGAATTGTTCCTCAGCTCTGATTTTCATATTTCGAGCATCGATGAATGTCACTAAATCCTCCTTATTGCCAACAGCAATTGTCGTACCATCTGGAGACCAGGAGATGTTGATATTTTCACCTTTTGTATCAATGGTCGCAGTGCATTTTTGAGATCTCGTGTCCCATATTCTCACAGTTTTATCACCGCTTGCTGTCGATAATAATTCAGGATTGGATGCGTGCCAACACAGTTGATCCACACTGCCTCCATGCCCTCGAAAAGTCGTTTCTTGTTTCTAAATCAAAACAAATACATTACATTTGTTGCTCTATTTTTTTTCCTGTGCTAAAGACTTTTTTGAAATTTCCCTTACCAATCTGTCCGGCCCCAGTGAGAATATACAGATGCATTTGTCAAATGATCCCGAGGCGAGATATTTTCCATCACAACTCCAACCAACACTGTGTACTTTAGCTGAATGCGTTTGTTGTTCTCGAATTTTATTATGTGACTTGAAATAGTTTATCAATTCTTCGACTCGATTATTTGTACCTGCCATTGCAGACGCTCTTCGCTCTCTCTCATCACACGCCGTTGTCCGGAGGATATTTAGGTTATATTTATTTACACACAATAAGATGCTCTTATGGCTTATATATGAAAATGAATTTTAAGGTTGGAGCAGAGTGTAATGGCGCCAATTTTCCGAGAAATCGTTTTGCTAATAGTTCGACAAGTGGCTTTTTAATTTTTCAGTTTCTGTGTATCATATGGAGAAGCCAGATGTTGTTGAACATTTTTTTGGCGTTTATTTACTCTATTGTGAGAATCCTAAATATAAGGGGAGAGTCTACATTGGATATACAGTGGATCCTGTGAGGAGATTGAAGAGACACAATGCTGGAAAAAAATTTGGAGGTGCATGGAAGACTAGCAATAAAGGACCATGGTAAAATTATTCACTAATTGAATTTGTCACTTGAGTTGGAGAAAAAAAATGAACGTTTCATTGACCCCGTTCCTCTAGGAATATGGTACTGATTGTCCATGGATTCCCCAATTCCACCAGTGCCTTGAGAGTAAGCTACACTACAAAATAGGTATTATTTTGATTGCGAAACAGAGCCATCCAGAAATCTGATTATTCTTTATTTCAGTTCGAATGGGCATGGCAACATCCTCAACTGAGTCGTCGTCTACGTCACGTCCCAAAGAAAAAATCAAGAGAAAAGACATTCGAGTACACCCTGAATGTATTATCTGCGATGCTCCAGGTGGGACCGTGGTGTCGCCTACCCCTAACCCTTCGTTGGTTGGATGATGTATTCGCTGAAGCTCACTCCTCGAAAATATTACCTCCGATGCACATGCCCATCAGTTATGGCAAAGTAACATCACGCAAACACGATCGAAAACAAAATGACAATAATAAAAAAGAGGGAGAAGTAATTGAAGATTCTGAACTTTCCATCTGCGATATTTGCTACATGACATTGAATAAGACTGATAAAGTAATGTGCGTCAAAGCAGATTGTGATCTAATAGCGCATATCATTTGTTTAGCTAAAGAATTCATTAAGGATGATAAGATTCTCCCGGTCGATGGAACTTGTCCAACTTGCAAGAGTAATCTACTATGGGGAGACGTAATAAGAAAAAAAATTGGCTGTAATATACATCTGAATGAAAATTATCCAGACTCTACCGATGATGATTCAGATTAATCGAGTCATTTGTTTTTGGCTCTGAGAATTAGTACTATCTATCTATTTGAATGACGCGCCGACAGCTCATTCATTCCGGAAATCATGTGCACAATTTTTTTATGTTTATATATATAATAAATAATTTGTAAATAAATTCGTTGAATAAGCACAACATAATAAAACCTCTTTATTCTTTATTTTTTTTACTTTATGCGTTATTTTTCAAAGATGAAATTACATTTCCTTGATTATTCAGTTGTTTCATTGAATTTGGCTTCGACTTCCGGAAGTTGCACTGGATCGGCCTTTACGTCGTCATCCACGAAAGGGAGGTGAGTTTCACTGGCAATTTTACAGATTTTTCAGACAGTTTTGCCTGTTAGTCCTTATTTAGAGCAATAAATTAATGATTTTAATGAATTTCTGAATTTTAACTCTCTGGAATAGACTTAAAAAACAATGGAACCCCGTGTATTTACGTAGAGAATATTCTCATGACACGTGAGGCTTATGGTAGTATAACCTCACAACATTTCTTCTCCGTTTAATATATCGACTTCGACTCTCTGTATAGAAATTTACGTCACCCGATGAAAAATTTATTGTGAATAAAATGAATGATGATTGAAAATTTTCATTCGCAGAAAAACACTATGCAGTTGCAGATTCGCGGGCAGCAAACGCACGTCCTGGACTGCCAGGACAATGCAACAATTGCTGATATCAAGGTACAAAATTACAAATATTTTATAATGTTATTATGTTTAAGAAAATTGTGAAAAGTACTTGGATATTCGTAATTTATGCATTATTATGATACTCCGACAATTGTTGATTTCTTAATGCAGTGTCGGAACGAGCATTAATGCTACAGTAAATTTAGATCTCAGGGTGATAAAACTACTTCTGGTTTTGTCTTTTCATAGATTTAAAACATTCAAACAAAAAAATATTAGAAACTTATCGATTTTGTAGAATAACGTTTGAAATAATAATAATTTATCTGTAGGCCAGACTTGCATCGTTGGAAAATGTTGAAACAACAGAATTCACGCTTCACTGTGGAGGAGCCCCAGTGAGCGACGAGACCAGCGTGTCCGAGCTCTCCTCGTGCATTTTGGAATTGACAGTCCCACTTCTTGGAGGTGAACAGAATTTTTTTCCTTCTAATAAAATACTGACGTAATTGATGCTCTTCAAGGGGCCGTTAATCGTAAAAAAGTTTAGCTCCGTAAAAAAATTATTTTCAAAAAATGCCACGAAAAAAATGTGATTGAACATTTTCCGATCCCCCTACGAGCAGAATTTCTTTCAACACACTGTTCGGGAAATTCCAATTTCTGAAAGCTAGTGTGAAATGTAATAGACAAATAGCCTTGATAAACATCGTGTACAATGAACAAATAACGAGATTTTGAAATTTCTAGGTAAGGTCCACGGATCCCTTGCTCGAGCTGGTAAGGTGAAGGGACAAACCCCAAAGGTAAGAATCATATTATCATAATTATTCGTAAAACCAGGTAATAATCGTAATTACATAACTGGCACCATACTGATCTAAGCCACTGTTCAATAGTTTTCAAATTTACACTGGTAATGATGTGGTGCCAGAATAAAAGCAAATGAAAGTGAAGTCGATTTTGCATTCAGAAATTGGCTTCTCATACATTTGCAACAAGGAATATTGTCATCAGCGCTTGCAATTCTTCTTCCCGTGTGATAATACTTTACAAATCAATTTTTTTTTTCAAAGGTTGAGAAGCAAGAGAAGAGCAAAAAGAAGACGGGCAGGGCCAAACGTCGTATTCAGTACAACCGAAGGTTCGTCACTGTTGTTCCCTCTTACGGCAGACGTCGTGGACCAAACGCCAACCCCAACACATAAATCTACTTTTGCATTTGGATTATGTAATCCTGATTTATATCAATAAAAATCGAGTAATCCAATATTTATCCGTAAAACTTGTTTCAATTTCATCCTCGGTAAGTCAGCTGAATAATTCAAAAACGTTAAATTAATCAGGCGGATTGTCACCCACTTTCAGCCTGCATGTACTTGTTTTCTCTCTCTGTCCACTTTTTTAATCTTCAACCCTCAAAAGAAGATGGAAAAACTCGAGTCGTAGAATTAAGGGCCACTTAAGCAAGACATCAAGTATCCAGACAACGAAACCAGCATCAAGGTGAGAGTTGGCACCTTCGGAAAGTGTGATACGTTCCAACAATCTTTTCATGAAAATGAAACAAACAAAAAATATTTTCCTATATCGAGTAAAACAAGTAATTTATTTCTTTTTTCGGTCCAATAATTCTTGGTCTTTCAATGAATTAATGAAATGTTCCTTCGCCAATGGTAGGATTATTATTGAAAAAAAAAAAAACAAAAAGCTACAAATTGCACTTTTGGTGAAACAATAATAACAATAACAACATATGCACAATTCTAAAAGAGAATCTAAATAATATAGTCTACGATCTTGGCTGGAATTTCAGCCAGATGCCACCCTTGGGAGTTAGATTCAAACTGTTTTTTGCAATTTTAATGTTTTCTGTTGATTTTTCACTCGGTTTTATAATAAATTTTTGAATTATTCTCGCGAGAATCAATTTAGTCTCCATCAAGGCGAATCGCTCGCCAATACATTTTCGAGGGCCAATTCCAAAGGACGAATATGAGTGCGGGAGAATATTTGCTTTATTTTCCTCATTAAATCGTTCTGGATCAAATTTTTCAGGATGTGGAAAATATTTAGGATCTCTCTGTATGCTGTATATGTTAATCCAGAAAGTCAATCCGCGATCGGCTGTCATTCCCTCGGAATTTGAAGTTGCTGGCGGTAATTCAAACGGTTTCTCACACACTCGATCGAGGAAAGTAGCAGGTGGATACAAACGCAGTGTTTCATTTATCACCATATCCATATATTTCAATTTAGCGAGCATTTCGTACGAGAATTCATTGTCTTTAACAACATCATCCACTTCCTCCCGCAGCTTCTGCTGGATGTGCTCATGATATGCCAATTGATGACAGAGAAAACTCATTAAAGTAGAGGTAGTATCGAAGCCAGCGAGGAAGAATATGAATGCCTGCGCCACGATATCATTCATGTCTATTTTAATTCCGCTAGCATCTCGAGCGCGCATCAACAAATGAATCATATCTGGTCTCATGATCCCTTTTTCATCTCTCATCGTGACAGTTTCGTGTATCAAATCGATGAAAAATTTATTAGTCTCTTTGGTTAAATAAGTTTGACCAAAAAATCTCATAATTCTTGGGAATGTGATGCCAGCGAAGAATTTGAGGATGCGTTTAGTTCCACTCAAATTTGTTGCGTCTTTTCCTCGAAAGAAAAACTCATTATCACGATGTTTCATAGAATCAACGCTTATTCCGAATGCAGCCGTTGCAATCACATCATTGGTATATCTGCTGAATGCATCTTTGGTTTCAATGAGTTTTGTTATTTCCGGATTATCAATGAGATATTGGGTAAAATCCTCGGAAACTTTGGAAACAAGTTGAAATAAGAACTTCATTTTACTAGCTGTAAATGATGGACTGAGTGCACTGCGTACTTCACGCCATCGATCACCTCGGAGTGAGAATACATTTTTACCCAGGATTGGATCCATTTTTTCATTAATAAAACTGCGATGATCCGGTGCATTATCAAAGTTCTTGACACAGATGTCCTTAATGAGATCTAAATCTTTCAATATAACTATTGGTTTGTTCCACATTGTAACACCAAAATATTTGGCATCAGGAAAATTTTTATAAAGTTCCTCCGAGAACTCTGCGATTGATGTACGCCCGAAAAACAGACTAACGTATTTGCTGCCAATTACCGGAATCGTCTGTACGTGAGGAACTCCCTTTCTCGGCCAGTAAATCATCTGATTGACAATCAATAAGATGGCCAATCCCACTAGAGCCGTAATTAATCCGCTCACCAAATCCATTCTATTCAAAATTATTCTCGATTATGATGGTAAACTCTTTGATTTACTCACTTGTCTGTAGTTATAACTATAATTAAATTTCCAATGATTGCAACTCTGATATATAACTCCAATTTTTTGTCCCGTGACAATATTTTTGTGCAAACTGCGTTTGTGCGCAGCGAGTTGCTCCTATTGAGTGGAATGTCCAACTGGCATATCATCATTTATTAGATTAGCGGCAATAGGAAGCAAAATTCTTATACAAGTATATAATTTTCATGGTGGGAGTAACATGTCATGGTCGTACCTATACAACAATGTAATCTTTTATAAAACGAGGATAACAGCACGCGTCATTCCTCTCATCGATATAGATGTGGTGAATGATTTTGAAAGAAAACAGAAATATAGCAAAAAGATGTTTGTACCAATTGAAGAAGAAGAAGAAGAAGAAAAAAAAATGGTATTTTTCAAGCTTCTTAAGGAACTTCCGCAGTACGTATACTTGGTGAAAATTTCGAAATGGTACAAAGACGCAATATTTGGATCATATGTTGTTGAGCACATTCAAAAACTATTCCCAAAATTTCAAGTACCTTGTCCACCCCATTTTCGAGATATACATCGTCAAAAATGGAAAAAACACAAAAATTGAATGTTTGGCGATGCATATCTCAAAAATGGGGTGGACCAGGGACTTGAAATTTTGGGAATATCTTTTTAATGTGGTCAACAACATATGATCCAAATATTGCGTCTTTATACCATTTCGAAATTTTCACCAAGTATACTTACTGCGGAAGTACCTTAAAGGAATAATTCTTTAATTGCTAAAAACACATCTTCCACTGATGATTCTGGAGTGGGTCATGTCACAGAATAGTGAGACATATGCCCACGGGATATAAAGCATTTGCATAATGAATAGATCTCATTGCAGGCCAAGTCACTCCAACGAAAATTTGATGCTCTTACCCGTAGTAGTTTCGCCGTGAGTCCCAAGCGCACTCGAACCAACTCATGGGCTTATTTCTTTGGCGCATGTGCCCAGAGAGTAAACTGCTCCTGCCTCATGTGTCTCAACCACGTTCCACTGTCACACTCTGGATCGACTACTGCTCTTCAGCATTGCACAGTTTGAAACGGCGCGCCGACCGCCCACTTTCGTGTGTTGTCCGGCTGCGAATTCTAGGATTTACTTGACCAGTCAAATTCATTTGTTTGAATAACGATAATGCTAATTGAGTGTTAAACTATTATTATTTGTGGATAATCATTGTCAAATGTAAGTAGATTCAATCTTAACAACCATGATATTTTATAGAATTATTAAAAGCCTTCAAGTGCTTGTGTCGGCGGTGAAAAGTTTATTTTTGTATAAATGCGGCTGGATGAGGGCGGAACGGCTGTTATCGAAAAAGTCAATTAGAGCTGTGGTTATGAGATCGATGAGCCCCAAATAAATTGTTGTTTATGTGTCTCTCAAAGAGTGCAAGCGCTCAACAATATCCATAATATCGCGTCAACATCCTGCATGATGGTAAATCTGCTCTGTAGTCAAAGGCCATAACTTAGCAACATCTGGCATTTTTTTTATTGCCGTTACAATCCATAGGATATTTTTACATTCCCCCAAGGAAGGTGGACCTTTTGGAGGCGAGTCAATTGATCCACATCCAAAACATTTATTTATTTGCACATTTGTTTGATGAAATAAAATGTCCCTCCAAAATTCCATTCTATTTCAATGTATTTTCAGTTTACGCATAGTCATAACACAAGAACCTAGGAAAATGCTAATAATGCCAAAATGATGGGGTACGATGGAGGCAAAGAAAATCGAGAGATTGAAACTGGATGACCAGGTTTAATTAGCCGCTGAGTAGCGGACAGAAGAAAAATTGAATTAAAAATTGAAATATCATTCACCGAATAATGAAATGTTGGCAATGATTTTCATAACTCTGAACATTCTGATGGGCTTGATAGACGCTAGAGATCCATCTGCGAAGGTCAGAGGTGATCTCGTAGTTGGTGCACTCTTCAGCGTTCATCATGCACCAAGTGGTGGTCAGGGTGCTCTCGTTTGTGGTCCTGTACGGGAGCTTTATGGTATACAGAGAGTTGAGACTGCTTTAATCACTCTAGACAAAATTAACCGAGACTCCACTATTTTACCGGGTGAGTGAAAACGAATAATTGGAAATTTTCCACACCATCCTCACTTTTATTCTCCTACTACTCCTACTTTTTTTTTTTTATTGGAGAAGGAGTGACACTTGGACTCGAAGCAAGAGACTCCTGTTGGTCTGCACCTGTGGCACTTCAACAGAGTATCGAACTTGTACGAGATGCCATCACACCGGCTCTCACTCAACCCCAACTTTTAGGAAATGGTGACTCTCCTAGCTGTCAAGCCGATTCGATTATTCTAGTCAGTATTCATCAATTTTATATATGTATGAGAGTTTCCACCAGTTGGACAAACTTCACTTCTCCCTCATCGATAGTTTTCCAACGAGAATTTAACCGCTTTTCAATTTCTATTTATTGTTTTCTCCTCTAGAATTCAGAATCTCCGTTGAGCAAAGCCCCGGTTGTAGGAGTTGTTGGTCCGGGTTCAAGTTCAGCGGCGCTCCAAGTTCAAAATTTATTGCAATTGTTTTCCATTCCTCAAGTGAGTTAATTTCCTGAGGTATAAGTTGTAGACTTCCGCTCCGACGATTATGCACTCAATTAATATTACTTGCTTAGATCGGGTACTCACCAACTTCGAGAGATCTCAGTGACAAGAAAAGGTATTCCACGTTCCTGCGGGTTGTACCGTCGGATTATTATCAGGCCCAGTTACTCGTCGATCTCGTTCAGTATTTCAATTGGACTTATATCTCTATCGTCAATACCGACGGTGAGTGTGCTCCAAATTTAGGAATTACAGTCAATCCGGCCACAAATTATACACACCAGAAACTCATCATGCTACCTACTCTCTCAATTGGCTTGGTCCATTCCATCGTGAAAGATCAATTCATCACACATGACTCATTTACGGAATGAGGGAAAAGGAAATTTATAGATGTGTCAGTCAACTTTTGCCCCAATGGAATTCCTCCCCATCGCAAGTGAAAGTTGTATTTATGAGACAGTGACTTTTATGAGGAAAACATAAGAATGGAGATACATATGATAAAACCGCTGTAATAAATGGAAAAGGACCCTCGAGAAATTACGGGCTTTTTGTTAAACATTTAATAGAGTGTTTTAAGTATCAGAAAGGGAGAATGAAAAGAGTATCATAAAGTTTATTTCAAATTGTCAAAAAAAAAAATACCATAATCGAGAAGAATGTTTAGTAATTTTTTAAATGTAATGAGATCAAAAGTCGGCGTTTCAATTTTATCTCACGCGAGCCTTGAACTACGCCGCCAAGTATTCGTGACTGTAAAAACTCGGGGTTTTCCACGTAAACATATATGTATATCACACTAATGGAATTGCTAGTTCACCTTAATTGAGCACATGTCCAACTGAAAATTCATTCGTTCATCAGGTCAACCCAGAAATATTTCCAATTAGTTAAGTACATGAGTTATTCGCCTTTCAATAATATTCAAAAAAACGTGAATGTTATCAGAGAATTACGGCCAGAGTGGAATGCAAGCATTTCGCGAACTGGCTGAGAGATATGGCATTTGCGTAGCGAGAGAAGATGCGGTATTGTCAAACGCAGAGGATTCGGTTTTCGATGGAGTTCTCACCAATCTCGATCAAGACCATGCTGCAAATGTCGTCGTTTGTTTCTGCGAGGGTAGAACGATGCGGGGCCTCCTTTCAGCTTCCAAGAGACTCAATTTAACCGGGCGATTCGTTTTTATTGGAAGGCAAGTTAATTGAATTTTTTCTATATTCTATCATACTTTCACTTTATTTTTAACTCTGATAAATTTTTCCCATCTATTCCCGAGTAGGACATCACAAAGAAGTCAATTTAGTCGTATTGACTTTAAAATATCATCCTGGTACAGTTTATTCTAAGTTAATTTTCATTTGCCACGTGTGTTGTTTCAAAGAACATGTGTTGTAATTTATTCGCAAATGTCAAGATAGTTATTACGGAAATTATGAATAAAAGCATGTCAAGTGTAAAAGTTCCAAGAGGAATAATATGAAACGGCGAGGAGAAATAGCCCTGGGCGAGAAACGGAAGTTAGTTACGGGCCGGAAGTCGCATCTAGTCCTGCGAGGGTATGGGCAATGGCGCTATGGTTTCACTCAATCATTGGAACTCTGTAATTGCGGTCACATTTACGGTTACCAATTTCCTACAAACTTAATCTTCCCGTTCGATTTTACCCTTACATTTTATTTCTTCATTTCTTCAAAGGACGCGTTTCACACTACAGGAGTCTTTAGACTGCTAACAGTAGATATTGGCGATTAATTAATAAACTATTTCGATTTGGAAATAGTGATGGCTGGGCAGACCGTGATGATGTCGTTGAAGGCTATGAAGATGAAGCCTGGAGCAGTCTTTCAATTCGAATACATTCTCCATATGTAAAAGAATTTGATGAGCATTATTTTTCTCTCAATCCTTTCACAAACACTCGCAATCCATGGTTTGTCGAATTTTGGCAATACCGATTCAACTGTGTAATGCCGGAAAATTTCAATGACGATTTGGACGAGTACAATACGAATAAGACACCAACAGCAGCAGAGCTTCCGGTGGACAGGAGAGTATGTACTGGTGAGAAAAAATTTACAACTGCGATGCGCTATTGTGAAAAAGTACATTTTCGAAATACAGTTAATTTTCAAAATATCAGCCCTTTTTTGCTCATATACTCTTTATTCAATTGAATAAAAAAAAACGGAAAAAATGTTTCAGAAACGGAAAAATGATTGATCAAAAAAAAAAAAAAATATTGTATGCATTACTGATGACAAATCTTCATATTCTATACTTGTGAAATTTATGTTCATTTGGGTCACCTAAAGGCGCAGAGAAACTGTCTGAGCGTTACAATCAAGATCCGAAAATGAGTTTTGTGATGAAATCGTTCTGGGCTATGGCACACGGGCTGCACAATATGCTTGAAGAGATATGCGGCCGTGGTTACTTCGGAGTTTGCAAAGAGATGTATCCTTTCAACGGGACCCTTTTCAAGGTAAACTTTCCAAGATGTTTATTCATAAAACCTATCCTATTATTGGGGAGAGACAATATGTATCAAAACATTGTTTTCATCTCCTTTGATTTATGACATTCATAGAATCACTTGATGAATATATCATTTACTTTCGGAGAAGAAGAAGTGGAGTTTGATCGTCGAGGGGATCCACCGGGCAGGTCGGTGCGTATGGTTGTTGAAAATCTTTCGCAAATCCATACGAAATAAACAACAAACATAAACGCTACTATTCATAGTGTAGGATGACGACAATTTGTTAATTAACAATCATTAGTAAATTAGTCAATTGTAATATAACAGGTATGAGATTCTAAATTATCAACTCCTATCGGACGGCAGCTATGGCTACGTACAAATTGGAGACTGGAATAATGGTAGTTTGGTTCTCTCTGGATTACCACAGTCTAGAGGCGCTCAATTGGTCACCAGTGTGTGTTCACAGCCCTGTCCCACGGGTTACTATAAGGTAGATACTTGTTATGCATGGATTATCAACTAGCCCCGCTGATCAGAAAAACTGTTCATCGAAAAATCTCAAAGCACATAGCTGGTATTTCCGATATCGTACAATTTCCACCTAGAAATTTTCCCATTTTTTATTTTTTTCCTCCTCTCGTACATATATGAATGAACCGATTGGGGTTTACCAATATTGGTGGGAAAGCCAATCGACTGTTCAAACAACTGATTCTCCATTGTTGGATGACATTACCTATGCGCTGACTGGGAATGAGAAAAAAGAAAACCTTTCATATGGAAATGAATTCTTCAATTGCTGATTTTTTAATGTCTCCCCATATGTTGCAATAAAATCAATTGATTTTTACAATGAAATTTGCAGAATTTTAAAACAGGCGGTCAGGAAAAAAAGTGCTGTTGGGCATGTGTACCGTGCGATCATCACGAGATTGTGGATGAAGAACAACTGAAATGTGTGCCTTGCCCCTATGGTCAGTGGCCGAATAAAAATAAAACCGGTATAACAATAACAATAACAATAAAACTATGTGACATGTTGAATGCACGGGTTATTAAATAATAGGATGGGGTATTTTAACCGTAGAGAGTAACATTACATTTCAGACTGCGAAGTGATTTTCGTTGAGTACATATCCTGGGGCGACGTAGAGGCAGTTGTCGGAATGTTCTTCAGCATTTTAGGCCTGCTAGCCACATTCGTCACATGTCACATATTCATAAGACACAATAATACCCCCGTTGTTAAAGCCAGTACACGCGAACTTAGCTATCTCATCCTGGCGGGCATGACACTGGCTCACGCCGCCGTAAGTTGATTAATTGTCGCAACGCACATACTACGATTATTATATTTCTTTTAGGTGTTTCCAATTCTAGCGAAACCAACGAGAATATCTTGCGCCCTGTCGCGCCTCATGCCTGGTATAAGTTTTGCCATGATGTATGGCAGCCTCTTCACCAAGACCAATAGAATAGCACGCATATTGGCAGGTTCCAAGAAGCGATTTCCCAAGAGAAAACTCGTATTCATGTCGGGGACGGCTCAAGTAAATCCATTAATATGTCACCCTATTACCAATGAATATCCAATAATGTTTACTCATTTCAGGTTGCAATAACGTCCTTTTTGATAATGCTCGAAGCCGGGGTAGCTGGTGCAATGCTGGTGATTGAGCCCCCACAAGCGCGCCTGGAGTTTCCGGCCCGAGATAGAGCAGTGTTAACGTGCGCAACATCCCCTAGGGCACTCCTATCGCCCTTGGCATTTGATGGCCTACTACTGGCATTGTGTACTTTGTACGCAGTTAAAACAAGAAATGTTCCAGAAAACTTTAATGAAGCAAAATTCATTGGTTTTGCTATGTATACGACATGTGTCATATGGATTGCATTTGTTCCTATTTATTTTGGCAGTGAATCTAAAGTCGTCACAATGTGCATGTGCGTTACTCTAAGTGCATCCGTCACTCTAATTTTTCTTTTCTTTCCAAAACTTTATATTATCCTTCTAAGACCTGAGAAGAATAATAGGGCACTTTTTACAACAAGTAAATCGATCCGATGTCACATTGGGGCTAGAGTCGCCGCTGCCATCGCTGAACCACCCTCCAAGCAAACTATTTACACGCTCCGCAGTACTAATCCACAAACATCAGGTATTTTTACAAAAATCTGTTATTTTATCTTACAGTAAGCCAGAAAAATTCATTATTTTCTTCTCTTTCGTTTACCTATTGAGACGTGCAAAACAATGTAGCGAGGAGATCTCTATCAGTTCAAACAGGAACTGATCTTTTGCTCGATTTCTACAAATCTCACAGAGAATTTTTCTCACCGCCTATGATACGTCTTGTGTCATCATCAGACAATATATCTTCAAAGTCTATTCCTCAGTGTAGAAAATGCTTCGAAAGAATATGCAAATCCAGCGGCAATGTACGAGGAGCTTACTCTGATACCTTTATGGATTATAAGTTTACGGAAAAGCTTGATTCAAAAGTAAACACTAATATCAGTGTCAGACGGCAATGTACTGCTGTTTCTGATGAGCAGATTCCACTCGATGCCAGAGCACTTATGGAAACTCATAGAATTATGTAGGATTAATACTAAACATATAAGCATCTTACTTATTGTCACCACCTTTATACAACATGGTAAATGACATTTCCGTTACTAGGGAATCAACTGAGCAGAATTTCACGGACCTGAGATTGAAATGCCCAACGGGGGCAATGAAAGATGGATTGGAACTCGGCTTTGATGGTATGGAAGCACGCATACGTGAAGAACTAAATCATTTAGATATTCATGGTAACCCCATCGTTAACATAACAATTACACTGGGTAAAAAATTGCCCAACTTTCGGGATTTTTATCAAACAACGGTGTAGTTTCAGTGACATATCCAAAACACTACATTTTTTTTTCATGTTCAATTGAATACCAAAGAAATTTAGCATTTAACATGGCCCAAAGCAACTGTACGAAATGGATAAAATAACGGTAATGTAATCATCAGAGGGATCAATGGTGACTCCATTGATTGACAATAGCAATTAAGTCTTACAAGTATGCCGAGATTTACTAAATTAATTGAAATGAATGTTCAATAAACGGAATTTATTGTATCAAACGATGAGATAAATCATTTATTTTCAACCAGTTCCCGCTAATTCTAGCTGAATGCCATAGAGTCATTCGTACACTTATCGACGAAATAGTGGAAACCATGGAAACTTTGGTCCAATCGCTATGACATTCTCGAAGCAAGTTGCTCATATTTGTTATTGAAGATACTTGTCAACCTCTAGAAAATAAAATATGATTGTTGAAGATGGTAACGAGTTTGGTCAGTGGAATCCCACTGTTTCCGAAATGGCAGGTAATATATATACTTCATTGATATACCCTTGTATCGATTGACTCGAATGTTTCTACTACTTGAATATTCTAGAATTATTACATCACTTACAACTGTCACCTCCACACTCTGACGAAGAACTCATGTCTCAGCCCGAGAATTCCACAACTTCTCGGAGTGATCAAAGTGAATCCGACGAATCCACTTGTACCACAGTCACTCTTGAAAAATTCAATAGATCTGAAATGCTAGAACAATTGGAGAATACCATTAATGAGAAAGGGATGAATAGAATGAAAAATAATTGGTTTCATGAGCACCTCGTCGAGCACTTTACGAGGAAGCAAGTAATATTCAAATTGATTTGATTTTTGCATTTCTATAAGAGGAATTTTCTTTTATTATTTCCGTAGATGATTCATGTATGTTCCGACAAGTATGAGGAGCCAACTACACTCGATGAATATTTGTGTAAACTTAAATTGTTAGATAAGCAGAATATCAAAACATTATCGAGTGAAGGGAGGTGGAATGAAGAGTTGTCGGCTATACGCATGGAAATAGCGGTTGAAAATAAAAAAGCTGAGGAGCTAGTTCAATCCATCATTGTGACGCAACAAGAAATTCGTATTTGTTTTGCACCGCACGCAAAATTACTTGCTCTGAGGAAAATGGACAATTTGTTATCAAGACAAATAGGAAGAATAAATAAAGTCTCACACTTTCGTCTGTCCTACGTACGTAAGGAAATTTTAACGGCTTTGTTCCATCAAGCGCTTGCGAATGCATAAATTTAATTTTTTTCAGCTCAAAATAAGAAATAAGTTGATACTAATTGAAAACAATTTGCATTCAATTATATCAACGATGCCAAATTTGAGCAAGGATGATTATGAGAGGCTGGTGGCAGAGCAGTGTTATTATAAGCAGCAATTGGATTGCAAAATTCATCATCGAATTGGTCTCATGAGCAGGAAAGATTATTCAGTTCATAAACTTGAGACATTTAATTCAAAAATCTCACACATTGAAAATCTTATAAAATCAAAAAATAAAAGAATTTGTAATTTACGAAAAATTATGGAATATCATCTGCATTATAACAGAAATTTGCTAAAGAAAATGAATAAAAATAATAGAATGATACACAATTTCCGAAATGAGATACATATTTCTAATGTAGGAGCAACACACAGAGAGTACGAAGAATGGATGGAGAAAATTTCGGTACTATTGAAAGAAATAAAACGTCTAGGTCAATCGCTCAGTGCTTTGAAGACCAATTTAATTTTACACGGCAAAAATATCGAGTCAGTTACCAATGACAATATCGAAATTCTGGAAAAAAAGCAAGTTGATAAACCACTTTGGGACGGAAAATATACTCCCAATCGTAATGATGTGTGAACGATTGAATTTTTTTGTTTAGTACATTTATTCGATTTTTTTCATTTCATCATATTATTATTGTCCAAACTCTGAAAATTTATATTCACAAATCCATTGACTTCCGGCAGTGTACATGTAAATACAGTAATATACCGTAATTTTCCGCAGTCTGTTGTCTTTTTTCATACGAAACTTCAAGTAAAAATTTGTAGCAATAAATATCGTCTTAAAAATGATTCGAAATTTGTAAATCTAACTATTTACAGAGTACTGTTAAATACATAAGTAGGCCCGTAACTTTTTCTACCACTGGGTATTACTATCTGTTGTTCTCATCGTTCACTACATGTAAATTACTCCTCCGTTTAGTAAAACGTTAAATTCATAACAAATACATTGCAACAAATAACCAAACTGAACTTATAAAAAATATATATTGAATGTAATGATTAAACTGTGTTAGTTTGTACGCTTCGACATTAATTCCTCTGCAAAATCGACAATTTAAGATATTGATACGTTGACATTCCTATAATTTGCTAATCTCCACATTTGGTAATTTCTAATAAAACATTAAATCTTGTGAAATTCATTATTTTTCAATTAGGCAGTGTAATTTCCTCATTTCCTTATCATTCATAATAACTAAATAGGCAGGTACGCCAGTTGATTTTCAGGCTCCTTGCACACATTTTCATATATAAATATATGATATATAAAAATATCTTTTACTCAAAAAACTGGAAAGACCCTCTCCATTTTGATGATGATCAATATCATTTTGTGCTTTTTATAAAATATATTCCATCGAGCTTCAACACCAGATGAAATATTTTCGCAAATTTGGTAAATTTTCAATAATAGAAAAACCGTAAGTATAAAGTCAGAAGAAAAGTAATGAAAAAGAAACTCAAATTAAAAAATTAGGATTAAGATTGCTGTTCCGTGAAGGGCCATTTACGCGGAGCAAATGGCTCGGAAGAATATTTTTACGAAAGTCATTCAGACCCGGAGTTTGATTTTCCTCTCAGTTCTCCTGCTGTCAACTTATAACATGCAGCATTTTTTCTTATTTTTCTTGTAATTTGGCTTCAATGGCGGTCTCTCCGACAACTGAAATTTCCGAACAATTCTCACAAGCTCGTGGAAAGCTTGATCGACATTCATGCGTAATTTGGCGCTACATTCAATGTACGGAATCTTCAAAACTCGAGCCAAGTTTTGTGCCTCATCAACTGCCACCTAAAACCATCAACGCCATTTTTAGACCACAATTGCACAATTTAGATGAGTCTTGGAAGAGTGAAAAAATTGCTATACTCACGGATCTTTGGTGGTCAAGATCACATTTATTTCCCACCATCAACATGGGAAATTCGTCACGGTCTTTGACCCTGAGAATCTGTTTGTGAAATTTCATTATTTCGTCAAAGGAAGAGTGATCTGTGACTGAAAAAACCAGCAAGAAACCTTCTCCACTTCTCATGTACTGTTCACGCATGGCACTGAATTCTTCCTGGCCTGCAGTATCTAAAACTATCGGCAAAATAATACATTTATAAAATGTTTTTATGAATACTTTGTTTTGCTTGTTATTTATGATTGACAACATTGAACGTACTATCAAGCTTTGCTGGCACTTCGTCAATGACACACTGCTTCGTGTACGAATCCTCGATTGTGGGATCATAATCCGTAACGAAATAGCTCTGAAATTAGCAAATAAAATCTCGAATGATAAGAATTTATTGTTAAGTAACTCTCTGCTTAGATATATGTACAGAAAAAAATGATATCATCGGAGAAAAATGTTAGCGCCAGATATAGACCAGTCAGAAATAAATTCGTTTTACGCGATTTAGGTCACAAGGCCTAACACTGTAAAAAATTGAGAAATTATAGATTCTCATGTTGCCGTCAATTCAAGAGTCAAAGACTTTTCGCGACATGTACGATGTCAGGGGGGGGGGGGCTGAAGATTGGTAGGAGGCAACAAACATCACACCCACGTTATCAAGAAATAACAA